CCTGCTGAGGACGGGTCTCTAGAGATCTTCCCCCGCAAGATCTCTAGGCAAGGGAGCCGAGGCCTATTCCTGAAGCAATGCACGAAGATCCGCCAGAGGAGAGCCGGGAGTGAATGCAGCGAGAGGACTGCTTGATTCTTGCAGCCGATGCCTTGCTCTAGTCCTTCCCGAGGGCTGTCTTCAGGCCTTCGAGTTCGAGCTGACAGTCTCGGCCCATGTCAGAGCACAGAGCGCCTGCTCTGTGCACGCTAAGCCGCTAAGTGCTGATGTGAACACTTCAGGGGCCCTAAGTTCTCCGTTGCTGTCTGTCCTCACAGCCCAGAGGCGGGGGAAAGAGAGGCCGGCCGCCAAGGCTGAACACCGTCGCTTCTGGGCCAGGGCATGACCGACACTGCTGGACGCCGTTCTTCCGTCATGGAGCACCTAAACCCTGGATCCGACACACGATGTGGCGACTGCTGGACGTGAGGACCCTTCAAAGAAGCCTAGAGTAGTCGCTGCCTTGTAAGAAGTAAGAAGGACTCCAAGAAGAGATGTTTAATCTTGAGGAGTTCTCATTTCTCACATGTATTCCTGAATGTGGCGAAACCCGGCTTGTTGGCAGCTTGAGCTCCTCATCTTCTACTTCCTGTACTTGAGCGTAGGGTGGCCGTGTGTCTTTGCTTTGAAGCACAACCTCGGGCGCAGAAAACTAGCTGTGTGGCTGCGTGCGCCCACAGGGCCGCTCCGGAGGTTCTTGGCGCTTCTTGCGGTCTCCGTTTTGTGGACGCCACTGCTGGGAAAACTGGCCAAGTCAGGCGTGGCCAAGAACGATTCGGGCACAGGCTTGAAGCTCAATCGTAACCTTGCAGTGCAGCTTCAGGAGAGGTGTGTGACTGACTTGTCCTTTGCTTGGATGAGGCCTTAGCGAGGCGTTCTAGGCCTGGTTGCTATGCATGAAATTGATCCTGGTGCACAAGCCGGGAGCTGCTAGCAAGGCCTGCGGGATCTCTTGGGTTTAGGGGTTTAGGGAATGCTAACATGAAGCAAGGGATCTGGGGATGAAGAGTCGTTAGCGCTCGTGATGCTTCAGCAAAGATTGCAGAAGTGGGCTTCAAAAGCTGTCTGCAGCCGACGGGGTGTATTCCATTCCATTGGCCTGCCGACAGCGACCGAACCGAAAACCCTCAACCCAACTTGAACCCTAAACCCTAAACCCGAAACCCAAAACCCTAAAGCCCTTTACTTCTTGCTCATACTCCACCTTCGTCTGAGCATCATGCTACCATTCGCTGTGCCGTGCCATGTCGCTCTGTGCCTATGATTGAAAGCTGTCTCTAGTTCCGCTGGAGGCTTCTGCCAACAAAGACCTCAAGAGACTAGATGCCCATGATGCCCAAAGCCTGGTGTTCTTTCAAGGTTTAGGTTAAGGCTCCGGATGACGGCTTTGAGAAGGGTTGCGCAGACGCAGCTGGAGCTTGTGAGGAACCATGTTTTCCGCCCGACCATGCCGGGACCATGTCCCAACACATCTGAGCAACATGGTCTGTCCACAGCTTTGCTGCAAGCCAGACCCAGCTGTGTCGGACTCTGCGCAGATGGAGGCAAACTTGTCAGGATGCGACAGTGCTGCGACGGTGCCCTCGGCCTCTCACAATCTCCGCGTCGGCTTTGACTTCTCGTCTGCTTTGTGAGCTGTGGCCGCTGACCTAACCAGCCCCAATGGCTGACGTGCTGCAGCAGTGCATTCTGCGGAGCGAGCGCACCTGTCCACGTACAAACCTTCAGGTCGACAAGTGCGTCATGCGACGTTTGCAGCCACAATTGCGCCCTGCTGCGCAGCCTCCGCTGGTCAGTCAGCTGTCGCATGCGGGAACGACTCGCGGCAGCTCCGGGTTGCTGTCTCCGACCCCGACCCCTGATCTTGAGACCCTTAAGTCCTTAAGCTTCGTCGAAGTCGCCTGACTTCGCCGAGGTTAGTGAGGGCGCGGCATGTTTTGCCACCCAGATCCGCCCAGCATCGCTTTCACATGGGAGCAGTCTTTCACCTTACGAAGAGCACAGACGCGGGACCACCAAATGACATCAAATGACGGCGAGAGGGAAAGCGGGCTAAGTGATCCCGAGACACAGGGTGTGGGCTCCAGGATCTAATGACTAGAAGATGATTGCCATTCTTTCAAGGGGTAACCAGGGCAGTGATCGCGACGGGGGAGGGGCAACCTTACACGAGCGCCTTTAGGGTTTAGGGTTGAAGCGGCGACAGCTGTTCCGGGCGAGAGAAGCTTCCTGCAACAGTGGACAACTGTGGTCTTTCGGTGCTTAAGACATTTATCCTGCTGTCCACAGAAGCTTCACAGACTCTAAAGCCCCAAGTCCTCCGCAGCTCCCCACGAGGCAAGAAGGCGAGGTGTCGTGGTGCTGAGTGTAAACCCACGCAGGCATCAGGTCTTCGTTTCGAAGCAGATGTTATCCTCTCTTCCAGGACTCCATTTAGGGCCGATCCGCCGGGATTAGGCGGCTCAGGGTAGTCTCGGTTCGAGCTTCGGCACGCCGAGCCCAAAGAACTTTCAGCTGCAAGGCCTGAGAAGATCTCGCCGCGGCCGGCTACTAAGGAAGGGTTTAGGGGGGAGGCCTTTCAAGGGCACAGGCTTCCTTTGATGCTTGAAAGTGCTTTCCTTTGCGGGAGCCTCCGGAGCCACTCGGAGCCCTCGGAGCCCCAAAAGCATCCGAGCAAGAAGGGTTTAGGGTTTAGGGTTTAGGGTTTAGGGTTTAGGGTAGTATCCAGGAGCCTGCCCACAGTGCCCACAGACACGGTGTTCTGTGACAGAGACTCCCTTGGATGTGGGAGTTTGGCTTGACCTCAACCTCGAGGCCCCCCCTGCAGCCAGAGATCTTCCAAGTTCAGGGCTTCGGAAGGTCCAAGTGCAACTCACAATCAGCTTCAAACGGCTTCCGAGGGGTTTTGCTCGGGTTTTCCGGTACATCTCATGCCCCTGCGCCCTCCCGGTCCCTACTCCGAGGTTGCAACCTGCAAAATGTTGCGGTCCGACTGAGGAGCAGCAAGGGTACCTCACGTGAGCTACTTGTAGCTTGCGACTAGGATTCTTGAGGCCTTCGGTAAGGATAGTGCGTCTTCATGCTTCTTCATCTGAAATCTGGGTTGAGGTTTTTCGTGTCCCTCAGCCCTAAACCTCCAGCCCTAAACCCTAAACCTCGCCTGGAACTGACCTCCTCACAGGGCCAGCCTGTTTCACTGCCTCGGCACTTGCCAGTTTGGCCGTCGACGGGCCTTTGTTGGAAGCGCTTTAAGTCATGCTCCCTTCCGTGGTTCTCGTGGTTGTGAGATCGGCGTCTGCAGTGTCGCCTGCCACGGTTTTCTCGCAGATGTCTCGGTTCACTTGCTGTCATCCTTGAGGGAGGCACGAGCACAGCAAGTTTTCAGGGGCGGCATTCGTGGTGACACGCCTTTGTGACACTCATGTGAGGCCAGGTGCTCTATTGAACTATTTTGTAGTGCGCCATGCAGGCTTGTCAAGCAGTTGTGCCCTCCGCATGTCTTGGGACAGTAATTAGTGCAGGACACCAGATGCATCTTGATAAGAAGATGGAGTGGCATCCTTGATGTAGACCCTGGAAGAACACCGAGCACTTTGCTCAGAGATAGTACCAGCAGCTCATGTGATGGCAGATCTCGCATGGTCTGTATGTATGCAGTTGTGCTAGCGAGACACACCTGCTTCCCAAAGCAAACACCGTCCATTCGACGCCGATCTGCATAAAGTCCGGTATGAGGCATTGCGTTTCAAGCGGGGTGAGGCGTCTCACCCAAGGCATGTCTCACCTGGTGAACCCCGGCCCCACCTAGGCTGCTGAGCTAGGCCGTGCAACCAGGAAATAGAGTGTGTGCTTTAGGTTGGCGTTTCTGTAACATACATAAGTGACACTTTCCAGTAAATGGCCCAGCAAACAGGAGAAGGTATGCTTGTGTACAGCGAGGTAGAGGAGAAAGCATAGTGAGGCGAGAGTTCAGGTAGGTCCCAGAGTTCTCGGCATGATTTTCACAGAGGCTTCTGGCTTTAGTCGAGGCAAGACAAGGGCCGAGGCGACGTTTCGAGTTTGGCCCTAGGTCAGCTGGCTTGTTGCCTTGGGGCAGATTGCCTTTCGAGGGGTACGGATGGTGAAGTTTACTGTAATTCACGCATAATATATAGCATGCAACATTACTAATCATAATGATTTCAGCCACACCTTGAATATTTGATATCAAGTCTTTGCAAGGCTACATAGTATCTTTCTGTCTGCTAGATGATATTGCAACATTTAGATATATAAGATAAGATTACAGAATAACAAACATAAAAAGTAATTCAGAAAATAGTCGTATTTAGATACATGTATATACATATATTGTTTTTTTCAATTCTAGAGATTTCTATTTTGGTGTTCTAGCCAGTAGCAGGATTTTGTTGCTTGCTCGAGAGAACTTGTACATGCGTGTCGAGTTTTCTGAACATTTCATGTGAAGCAGCATGCACTGGTGTTGTTGGCAGTCTGTGGCATGGTTTCCCACGCAGTCTATGTTGCCCTTGATGCAGACAGGATTTATGATGTCGTCTTCCTTATCAAGGTTGGGTTTCGCGTCACACCGGCCAGACTTGTTCTTCAAAGTTGTGTAGCCGTGTAGCCGGCCGAAACACAACCAACAAGATGACCCTTTTTGTGCGGCAATTCGGCTTTTGGAGCCTGAGCAGTTTGCTAAGTCCTTACTTGAGCTTGGGGTTAATCGCTGTAGCCCTTGTCCCTGCAACTCCTGACCCGACTCCAAGCCTCAAAACCTCAAGCGTGATTTCCCCAACAGCACTAATAATCGCGCAGCCTGACCGAAAAGTTGAACCCGGACGCAAGCACTTGCAAGCTCCTCCTGATTCACCTCGCGGCGCTTCAACAAACATGACTAACAGGCTTTCAGCAACCGTTGACGAACAACATCCACAATTAACCGCCATCAGCTGTTGGCCATGGCTCTGTTCCTGCTAGTTTCCATGCTGCCTCTTGCTGGGCGAGTGCTGGCCCTCCGGCAAAATCAGGAGGCGCACAGGGAGGGGAGATTTGTCGGATTGCTGGGCTGGATTTGGGTGTGCTTGTAGCAACTGGCCCCCGGAGGTTCTGCTTCCCTTCACAACACTCATGCTTGGTCTAACATCGGAACGGCGCCTCACTTTCTAGTGTCATGTGGGGACATGATTCAAACAACATGCAAGTTGACCCCGAAGTTTGAACGCTGAAAACTTTGGTAATGCAGGGTGTCGGCTTGATTTGATATGCAGGAAGTACATAAGTGTAAGGGTGTTGCAACTGGGACCCCAGCAAAACTGCCAGGGTCTTTGGGTCTCTTGAAACCCCAAAAAAGCGGCCTACGTTTGTGAACATATGATTACATATGTATGTAGGTAGGTAGGTAGGCAGGTCGATAGGTAGTACACAAACACTGATGACGTCCTCGGATGCAGGAAGACCTTGTGCTCCACGAGGCAGATCCCGAATTGCTCCCGACGGGCAAGGCCTGTGTCAAGTCCAAGTGCTACGGACGGGGAGGGGCTTTCGTGAACCGGGTTTTTGCCGTTTGCGTGCCTTGCTGCAGTGGTCTCATGCCTTTTTGCCGTTAGACTTTGGGCTGCCGTTTACAGGGTTCTAGCTGCTGGGATGTTTTTTGGTGAAGTTGTTTCGATTTGGGTCAGGTGTATACACGCGAATGGTTACGGCTCTAGTTTGGGAGTTGGAACATGCGGGGTTCAAAGTCCAGAGTCCAGGGTGTAGGGGCCCTCAGTCGGGACACCTCCTGGTGTGCTTTGTCAGCCTGAGAACCCTGAGCATGTCGATCTGAAGCAAACAATCCTTGCAAAAGAGACGTCTACGTCACAACGATCGCAGGAGACCTCCTTTATCCACAACGTCGTCTTGTCATGCCTCCAGTGCAAGAGCCAGAGTCAAAGTACAGCTGCAAATGTTGAGGCTGGCTATTTCATGCTGTGCTGTGTCTCGGACAAGGCAGCTGCAGGGATTCCACTGAGGCAGTTGAGGAATCGAGTTTTGCTTAGTTGAGATTCTTGCCGCAAATGTTACCTAGGAGTCTGCTTGTGTCAGTGTCGTCGCCCAAAAGATCTTCAGACCTGCCCAGAGGCAAGCTTTGGTGTTGCAGACTCGCGTTTCCGCGGTGCCGCGGGGCGGATGCTCCAGGTCGCTGTGCCCAGTATATATCGGGCTTTTGAAGCCTTTGGCAGGAATGTGAGCACGAGTTAGCAAGACAAACTCAAGAAGCCAAGGTTGATGTGCTGAGGGTTGGGTCTGGGAAGGGCATGCTTGGCCATGACCCTGAATCTTGAAATCCAATAAGACAATCCCCAAGTCTCCTACTGGTAGCGCCATGCAGGCTGTTGCAGAGGATGGTGCCTATGGCATGGGGAGCGATTTCCATCGGCATCGTTTCAACAAGCATTGCAAGGCTCTGGCGACTAAATTGAGTGGGCTTCGTTCGCTGCCTGCCCTGCTTCAATCAGCGTTTGCCACAACTCACTGCCAGCCCTGAGGCCGCATTGCGTCTGGACCATTGCCCTGATGTCGAAGCCCCGGCAGATGACGATGCACGCAGTGATCCTGACAAGCTGGCGGCCGCAATCGAGGACGCAAATCCTGTTTTGGCTTGAACGCAGATGCCGACACCACGCCTCGCGTCGTTTGATATTGGGGAGAGTGTCTTGAATGCTCAACAGCCGAGTTTAAGGTGTTCAGGTGTGAAGTAAGGGGAAGAGGCCGCTGCGATGTCCAAGGTCCCTCAAGGATTTTTCTCCACCACTTGCATGGTCATTGAGTGTCTTCGGGTTTGGGTGGCGGCGGTTTCGTCGAAAATCCCAGCAATGCTTCTCGACTTTCAAAGCCTTCGTGCAGAAACAAGAAGAGCTCAGCCCAGGTGAGGGCAAGACAAAAAAGGAGGCGTGGGTACCCCTCCAGTCCGCTCGTGTTCCAAACCTTCGCTCACTTCGAAAGATCACGAAAGCTAGGGTGGCCAGATTGAGCTCATCAGAGAACCAGACACCGGTCGAGTTGCAATTTTCTTGATTTTTCGCGGAGAACGGGGTGGGGGGGGGGGTCGGGTCTTGAGTTTTTCAACAGATTTTTGCAGGGTGGGGGGAGCGGCGGATCTGTAGGTCTCCGCGAGTGCATGAATCTGCCACAGACAAATAATAATAATCATAATCATAATAATCATAATCAGAATAGTATTAATCATAGCAATCATAATAGCAATAATAATATTAAAAAAATAATAATATCAAAAATAATAATAGAAATAATAATATTCATCATAATAATATATAGTCATGAAAATAGCAAAAAAAGTAACTAAGGGGCTTCTGTCAAGTTTGGTCTAGGCCTACAGCGTATCTTGGAGTTACACGGGGATCTTGAGTTATAGATCGCTGTCTGCATGAGCGCGTGTGTCTCAAGCGCGTGCTCTGGAGAGCTCCGCGGGCCGGGATCGCGGTCTCCATGCACGTGCTGCTCCAAATACGGTCGCGTGTTTTGGGTAGCTCTTGAGGTCCAGATCGCTACCTCCATGAGCGCTTGTTTCCCTCAGCATTTGGATTACGCGGGGATCTCGAGTTGTAGATCGCGGGCTGCTCGTACGTCTTCGCGCTAAGCAAGTCCACCAGGGCGTGACTCCAGGCTAGCTCTCCTTGTCCCCGGCTTCTCCCCTCAAGCATTGCAGTTTCATGTTCGAGCTCTGAAGTGTCAACGTCAAGCTGCCTAAGACTCGCAATCGGGCCCCAGCAAGGAGGCCTGTCCCAGGGAGAGCTCTAAAGCTCCGAAGGAGTTCCTCGCCAAGTACGGCATTCACTCTGAGGAGAAGACGCCGGAGTATAAAACCTACATGGGGCACGAAGCCAGGCAGGACTATGTGTCAGTACTTTCCACACGAAACTTTCAAGCATTCGAGGCAAGAGCACTAGACCCCACGCCCAGAATCTGAAGCCAGACAGGTGCCCGAAGGACTTCCACCCGCAGCAGGATCTCTTGCGCTGCAGCAGCGACATGAACCGCGGTCGAACATCCAGCATCCCTTAATGAATAAACATTCCTCTAAAAGCATATTCGGGAATCCCTATTGCGATTTAAGGAAACTTTGCCGAATTCAGGGATGTTGGACGCTCCCTAGACAGGCTGCGGGTTGCCTTGGGTTTAGGAGGGACCATGAGTTAGAGAGACCCCCGCATACATAGCTGTTTCGTGCTTTTGCCAAATGTTCCTCCAGGTTGCTTTCACCCCTCGAAGCCATGACACTTCCAAAGCCATCCCCTTTCAAGGAAGCACTTCTTGAAGCTCTTGGAGCTATGGCTGAAGAAGTTGCAAGCAGAGGAGGAGGCGGGTTTGGTCGGACCTCGTCCCTAAACCCCCTAAAGTCTCCGCACCCTGAACTCTGAGGTCAAGGACAACACCGGCATACGCGGCTTCTTCTTATCAAACCCGAAGAGCCGTCAAAAAGCGTACGAGAAGCTCAGAGATGCGGACTTTGACCTCGTGAAACTCTGGTTTAAGCATCACAAGCGCGACATGTGAGAGGATTTCTTTTGGGTTTAGTGTGTAGGGTTTTAGGGTTTGGGGTGTAGGCTTCAGGGTTTGTAAGCCCATGCAACGAATCAATCATCCTGGATGCCAAGCATCTGGATCCTGGAGCTTGGGAGACACTCGCAACAGCGGATGAAAGAGTGAAAGGGCGTAGGGTTTAGGGTTTTAGGTTTTAGGGTTTGGGGTTTAGGGTTTAAGGGTTTAGGGTTTAGGGTTTTAAAGTTTTGGGGCTTAGGGAATGGGGCCTTGGGGGAGCCCAGATTCGATGTTCCAAGCCTCTAAGGCCAGACATGGCAGGCTCTGTGGACGTCTGATGCAGGTCTACACTGTTTGGGTTTCTTGCACCTCATACATATGCACATTGTATATATATATATATATATATATACATACATACCCCCCCCCCCCCCCCCCAATGGTATGCCCCCTCCCCCTCCACCTAAACCTTAAACCCTTACCTCTAATCCCACACCACAGGGGGGGGGGGGACCTTAAACCCCAAACCCGAACCCCCAACCATGCTTGCACCACAGGGGGGGGGGGGGGGCGCGGGGGTATTAAACCTTAAACCCTAACCCCCCAACCACACCCACACCACAGCAAAGGGGTTATTAAACCTTAAGCCCTGAAGCCCCAACCACACCCACACCACAGGGGGGGGCGCGGGGTTATTACACCTTAAACCCTGAAGCCCCAACCACACCCACAGTACAGGGGGACGCGGGGGTATTAAAACTTAAACCCTAACCCCCCAACCACACCCACACCACAGGAGGGGCGCGGGTTTATTAAATCTTAAACCTTGAACCCACAACCACACCCACACCACAGGGGGGGCGCGGGGGAGGGGGAGGGGGGCGGGGTGGGGGTAGGGATGCAAGGGAGGGTGGGGGGGGGATACCATGGGGGTGGGGGGGTGGGCGTGGCAGTCCTGGACCATATATATATATATATACACACCCCAGCAGCCCGCAACACCTCAAATCACTCAAACATGGTACTTTAGCTTCTATATGCTGTCCAAGGTTACTTGTCCAGATGCTGCCCGGCTGCCGCAGCATTGAGCATATCGAGCCACAAGCGCTTTGCCAAACTCATTCTTGAAAGTTCCCAAGCACACGTGTGCGAAGCCATGGTAGCTCGTTGTAGCATCTTCATCGCCTTGGCATTGCTTGTCGCGGGTGTGGTGCCGCCGGTAGCCAGCACGCGCGTGGAGGAGAGCAACGATGACAATGACGCCACCGTCGTCGCTGGCTCTCACATGGCAAAGGAGACGGCCGCCCCTTATGTAGTACAGCCCATGAGTCTGTAGAGCTTCCGGTAGGTTTAGGTGTAGGGCTGCTAGCGCCTTCAGAGCTTTCCGGAAAGCCTCGCCCATTCCCAGACCTGTGCTGCATAGGAAAACCTATCCTGGTCAGGAGCAAGAGATGGAGCAGGGCCTCAGTCACGGGGAGGCAATCAAGGAGCACGTGCAAGCGAAGTTGACGGGGAAGGCGCTCAAGCCCAAAGGGGACTCATGTTCGAACAAAGATGAGTGCGACTCCGGCTCTTGCCCGGGCGGAACGTGTGCATGATGGGAATGACTATGTAGCAGGGCCCCCCTCGAAGGGCACTTGCACTGCTCAACAGGAAAGAAAAAGTCTGACTCGCTTGAGTGCTTCAGGCGTTCATGGCTTGTGTGTGGGAATTATAGGGTAATCGTGCTGTCTCAACAACCACCGTTTTGCGGTCTGCCTTGGCTTGTCGTTTCACGGAATGGAGACTCTAAGATGCTTGTGGAGAGCGAAGCAACTGGCAAGGGACGTTTCTTTTTTTGCAAGGTTTCGGCTTTTGGGGGCGCTTTGGGTGACTACTGTCCAGTGCTCATTGCTTTCGTAGGCTTGAGAGCCTTGTTGAACTTTGTGTGTGTGTGTGTGTGTGTGCCTAGCCCTTAGGTCTTAATTTTCGGCCTAAACCCTCAACCCTACAGGGCTTAAAGTGTCGGGTTTAGGCTCTGATGGCACAAGTTCCTTACTCTGCTGAGCGCAATTTCTGAGTGTAAGCACAGGATGCACAGGGTGGGGAGCCAAAAGATGATACCTCAAAAAGCACATCAGACCCTGAGCAGTACTTAAGTTTCTGCTTGCTGTCCAAGGTTACTTGTCCAGATGCTGCCCGGCTGCCGCAGCATTGAGCATATCGAGCCACAAGCGCTTTGCCAAACTCATTCTTGAAAGTTCCCAAGCACACGTGTGCGAAGCCATGGTAGCTCGTTGTAGCATCTTCATCGCCTTGGCATTGCTTGTCGCGGGTGTGGTGCCGCCGGTAGCCAGCACGCGCGTGGAGGAGAGCAACGATGACAATGACGCCACCGTCGTCGCTGGCTCTCACATGGCAAAGGAGACGGCCGCCCCTTATGTAGTACAGCCCATGAGTCTGTAGAGCTTCCGGTAGGTTTAGGTGTAGGGCTGCTAGCGCCTTCAGAGCTTTCCGGAAAGCCTCGCCCATTCCCAGACCTGTGCTGCATAGGAAAACCTATCCTGGTTAGGAGCAAGAGATGGAGCAGGGCCTCAGTCACGGGGAGGCAATCAAGGAGCACGTGCAAGCGAAGTTGACGGGGAAGGCGCTCAAGCCCAAAGGGGACTCATGTTCGAACAAAGATGAGTGCGACTCCGGCTCTTGCCCGGGCGGAACGTGTGCATGATGGGAATGACTATGTAGCAGGGCCCCCCTCGAAGGGCACTTGCACTGCTCAACAGGAAAGAAAAAGTCTGACTCGCTTGAGTGCTTCAGGCGTTCATGGCTTGTGTGTGGGAATTATAGGGTAATCGTGCTGTCTCAACAACCACCGTTTTGCGGTCTGCCTTGGCTTGTCGTTTCACGGAATGGAGACTCTAAGATGCTTGTGGAGAGCGAAGCAACTGGCAAGGGACGTTTCTGTTTTTGCAAGGTTTCGGCTTTTGGGGGCGCTTTGGGTGACTACTGTCCAGTGCTCATTGCTTTCGTAGGCTTGAGAGCCTTGTTGAACTTTGTGTGTGTGTGTGCCTAGCACCTTAGGTCTTAATTTTCGGCCTAAACCCTCAACCCTACAGGGCTTAAAGTGTCGGGTTTCGGCTCTGATGGCGCAAGTTCCTTACTCTGCTGAGCGCAATTTCTGAGTGTAAGCACAGGATGCACAGGGTGGGGAGCCAAAAGATGATACCTCAAGAAGCACATCAGACCCTGAGCAGTACTCAAGTTTCTGCATGCTGTCCAAGGTTACTTGTCCAGATGCTGCCCGGCTGCCGCAGCATTGAGCATATCGAGCCACAAGCGCTTTGCCAAACTCATTCTTGAAAGTTCCGAAGCACACGTTGCTACAGGACGTAACTGAATGGTGGCTGTTGGGTTCCGATTCGTGATTGTTAGGGAATTTTCGCGTTTAAGGTGTTTGGTGTTTCGCTGCATCGGTTGAGCCATGAGTCTCTTCCATGGACCGGTTGACCCGTCGCATGGGGCCTGTGGACATTCATCCCAACCTTCCGAAGCTTGCCGCGGCCTTCTTGGGGTTGTAGCCGGCGTCCTCTGTGCCATACACATGTGCACTGCTTCTGCGCATGGGCCAGCCACCGTTGCCTGAAGTGGGCTCTGGAGTGCCCACATCGGATCCACCGAACATGCTCTCAAGGCACAGCTCACACAGCTCGCCCCTTTGCCTCTTCGGAGTCCACAGAGTCCAGAGCGCAGTTGCACTCGACTTCTTGCACGGCCCAATCCAACCCGTCTGCTGCGCTTTTTTCGCCGGATGCGCGAAGACTGCGCGACATGGCCGGATGCACTTGTTGCTCCAACGTGCGTAGCAGGTCATGGATTTGGATGCGGTCTGCCACATCATGGTAAAGTTATGTTGCGTTCTGCTTTCCACGCATGCAGCTCCCGACAATTTGACCTTAAACTGTGAAAATTGGCTTTTCTTTAAAATGCAGACGGAACGCGTGTTCTTCTACTTCATCTTAAAGGGAAACGGAGGTTTTCCAACGAAAATAGAAAAAGTAGAGGTTTCCTGCGAATTCGAATTTGGTAGGACAGAAAACCCGTTTTATGGTAAACCATTCTTGATGGGTGTGGCTTTCTGTTGCCAGGATTGGTGACATACATTTGCACATTCGGATGTGCAGAGTCATGTGATTGTTGAGCGGGGCAAGGAAAAATTGCTGTTTTTGTGGTACCCCACGTGCCCAGCAAGATCTGACCGAACAAGCTTGTACTGTAAGAAGGCAAAGGTGCTTTGGATAAAAAAAGCGCAGCTTTGTGTCCGACAATGCGGCTCAAGATTGACGCTGAACTGCCATGTGTTCAGTGCCTGTGAAAGTGTTGAGGAGAACTTTCTCGCAAGTGGGAATCTTGTCTATGTTTGCAGATAAAGGGTTTGTATTGATTCTACGTGCCGCTTTTTTCAATGATTCGTCTGCGTGGGTAGTTGCGCTGTAGACGTTGTAGAACAGCAGTTGTGGTTGTATGCGGGATTCGGTGATGCACGTTTGCAGTCAGGCTCCAACAGTCCGCGAGTGCTTCAGCAAGCTTTGGTGAAAGCCAAAGGTTCCGAGGTGGGCTTCATTTACGTTTTCAATGTTGAGTGGTTGCGGACATGAGTTTGTCTAGCAAGCCCGGGTCGTAACCGCCCGGGTCGTAACCCTGCGACGTGTGCAGGCTCTTCGATTGTGGAAACGCCATGCTCTGAACTTTGATGCCGTGAACACCATTACGGCCATACGCTGCGTCGTGCACCTTGGTGGCATGCTCTGGACACACTGTTGAGACACGTGTGATCACGCGGCCTTCATGGCATAATGGCAGTGCTTATGCAAGCGGCTTGAAAGATGCACGGTTGAGGTTTTCTCGTGGCACGGCTTCAAAGCATCTGGCAGCTTGGCGATGCCTCTTGCATGAGGTGCTTGTGTGAAAAACGGCTCGGTATGATCGATGGACCGCTTTGTTCCCGTTGTTCTGCAGGCTGAAGCCATTGTCCCCACACTGCTTCCAAAAGATCTCTCTGCCCTGGCTTGGGTTCTTGGCCGGGCGGAAAGGGGAGCAGAGCCCTGAGCCACAATCAGCAACATCTAGGGCCGAATTCTGAAGATGTGGCAACAAAATCCCTAGATTTATAGGGCTCGGTGTGTGGGGTGAGGTTGTGCCGAAGGAGGAGCAGCAGCTCCATGCAGCGTTGGTGAAAGCTGTAATGGCGCAGATCCCTGCTTTTTCTGCGAAAGATCTGGGCATCATTGCTTGGTCAGTGGCGAAGCTGGAACTCTGCGTCCTGCGCTTAGGCGCTCCCATGTTTCGCGGCAACAAAGAACGAGGAACGCTTGTTTTGCAAGACTCTTCAGGCCCCGTCGGATCCGTTGGTGCGTCTTTTGGCTGGAGAGGTGGCTGCTCGATGGGAACAGCTGAGTGGCAAAGAAGCTGTCAACCTGGCCTGGGCAATAGCCAAGATGGAGGCGCGCTTGCGCAGAGCGAATGCTAAGGAGAATTATCGTGTGCTTTCCTACTATTTGCTTAAGAACGCCCCCAAAAATGAAAAAAGATAATCCTTAAAATGTTCCCCTTATAAGGTAGAATATTGTCTTTTTTTGGGGTTCTTGATCGATTGGTAGTATTTCCCCGGCAAGGCGGATGAGCCGATGCTTATGAAGAACCTGGCGCATCGAGCGGCCGCCGAGCTCAGTAGCTTCAACAGGACCCTCCACCTGCTCATGTTCGCTATTCCTCACTGGGCTCGCTGTTTCAGGGGTGTACTTGGGACCTGCTGATCGACATATTGAAAAAGAACAGTTGGGAGGCGGTCTGAAAGCGGACTGAACAGGCAAGATGCAGCAAATGCGGCCTGGGCTTTTGCCAAGGCCGGTCACCCTGCCTCAATGTGCAAAACATGTACAGCAAAGTGTTGTCTGGAAGTTCTCGCGTTTGTTTTTTTGCTCCTTTCACATGTGCACATGTTGCCTCACATTGTCGTCACATTGTCGTGGAAAATTTGTTTTCAGCGGCATCAGGCAGAGACTCGTCATGAGCCTTTGCTTCGCGGACTGTCAGACATGTTCTTAGCAAGCGCGGCGGAGTTCAAGCCCCAGGAGCGGGGGATGCGGAATGCCCAGACATGCAGCTACACACAGTTGCAGCAAGAACAGTGTGCTGTACCAGGCAGAGTGTCAAGCGTCAGCATGGGCATGTGGGCAGGAGCTGGCGAGCTTGACGTGGGCTTACGCTTGGCTGGACGTAGCGGAGGAATACGAGGACCTCAGCATCCTGTGTTTCGTCGTCTTCGTCTATGTCTATGTTTATGTATATGGACATGTATTATGTATGTAGAAACTGTATATAGTTTAGACGTGTATGTAGACGTTTGCGTACGCAGCAGTTGCGAGGCCCTGCTGTCCTCATTGGCTGATTGTTGTCTGCAGCGCGTCTCGTCGTTCAATGGGCCGGGCCTGGCGCGTGCAGCCTGGGCCTTTGCCAAAGTGGGCCACATTGAGAGTTGCTTGTTTGGCAATAGTTGTGACAGTTGTGGCATCAGGCTGCAAGCGGAGGGTAGGCGCTGCAAATGCGATAGTCGTAATCTGTGGCTCACGCTGCTCAGGTGAGCTTTTTCAGGCTCTGGCAGATCAGGCGCTTCCTCGGCTGTCATCACTGGACGGGCCCAACCTTGCGAAGCTGGCATGGGCCTTTGCAAAAGCAGAGTCTCAGCAAGACTGTGGAATGCTGCACTCTGGAATATAAAGTTGTTGGTTGCACTGGATGCTGCTTTGCTGGGCTCGTCTGCTTTCCATCCAAGGACCTGGAGGAGGAGCAGCGTCGCTTCATGCTGGCCATCGCCAATCAGGCTTGCAGTTCCACCCACCAAAATCAAACCCCACACACCCAGGATCTTTTGCACGATGCGTTCAAAGCGCTGATCCGTCCTTCATGCGGCTCATGGTTGCTGTTGCAACAAGCAACATGTTTGGGAAGAAGTCGTGATTCTGATCCTTCCTGCGCTGTCACTGAGAATGTGCTGTTTTCGCACTTGTGTGCATGAGGACATGGCGTGTCGTGCCACGGCCGCTAGACGGCTTACGGTCAGAGAGCAGATGATTGGAGAGCATGCTGAAGCCAGGCTGAGCAGAATGTCCTGAGCCTCAATGCCCGTGACGTTGCGATGTTGGCCTGGGCGCTGGCCAAGGCTGCACCATCGTCATGAGTAGAAATTTAGAGTAACCCTGAACCCTTAACCTAAACCCTAAACCCTAAACAAGCCCTAAGCTACAGGACCTGGCGCCTCTAGGAAGTCGGGACAAAGCTTGATGAGACATGCCTACAGATGGCATGTCACGTGTGGAAAAAAGCCTCCCCCGCCTTTCACTAGACCAGGCGGACGCAGCCCCGCAGCCGCTGATGTTGAAGCACCTTGACGAAGGACTGGTGCAACAGAGCGCCATGTGTGCGTTGCCTTTGTAAAAATGGGTTAAACCATGTTTCCATACAAGTTTCGTTCAAACCCGAGGACTGAAACAAGATCATTTGGCAGTGCGAGCTGAGGGCAAGATTCCAGGGATAGACCTTGTAGTAGAGACATGTTTGCATCTGACCTTCAGTTGGATTTGTTTGAGGAAATCCCTCCCAAACAGTACACTCCGGGTCCACCGAGATTCGAGGGTCCAAAGGCCATAATAGTGGCGATGGCAACACGCCGTTTTTGAGCCCTTAAGTGAGTTTCATCGAGACAAACTCGCCAGTACACATCGTGGTCAAAACGCGGCGCCCCTCCCTGCCAGCCCTCCTGTTAAAAATTGATCAAATTGCACGTGCTATCAAAGCATACGCAACGCTGTCCGAATATATAAGGGCTATCGTGATTGTGATACAGTGACTGGCAGAAGCACTATCGGGAGCACTATTGGTAGTCAGTACCTAAAGGAGAAGCTATCGACACTCAAACGCTTGTGAATCTAGCTGTTGTCTACATGAAGAACCCCGACTTCGCAAACCTTGAACGTCGGGGGTCATGGTTTTGAAATAGGGGATCCCAAGCACAGGCCTAACTGGGACCGGGGCCCAAAAAACATGCACCAATGATAGGACATGAATACCACACGTGCTGCCCCTGACTTCGCTTAAGCCCTGCTTTGCGCACAATGGCAAAGCTCCTCACTGGCACTACTTCCTCACTCCACACAATCGCCCGCTCGATCACTCACGGAGGTATTTCACTCACTCTACACGCACGCACACACACACCTTGGAAACCCGGACGCTTTGTAACTCATCAATGCTCTAAAAATGTGGGTTTGGAGCCGTCTTGCATGGCGAACCTTCTCACATCTAGAAACTGGAAACCCCAACTTGCAAACCACCCGAACCCGAGGTGAACCTAGTGCGGGAATTCGCGATGTACATTCCAAGGTGCCGTACTTCACGGCTCAACTGCTCCCCACCCAAAAGCTCGCCTGCTTCAAGGGTGAGCACGGGCCATTAGTCTGTAAGCAAGCTTGTGATGATTGCTGGCCAAGCTCAGGCTAGCCAAGCATGCGGTGCCTTCACTGCAAAGAGCTGACGAACACCGCCACAGCTCGAAGAGTCCTGTCAATCTCAGGTGCCTTTGGTTCCTCAATTCTCGCCTCAGGGCCTCGCCACTTCTGCGGCTGCCTTCACTGCTGCTTCCGTATGCCCAGGCGCAGTAGTTCCAGTACTTCACTTCCGGCCACTTGTGCAGATCTCTCGAAGCCTTTCAGCCTTTCTGTCTTCAGATCGTCTGCGTCGAGCGCTTGTCCAGGGTGCCTGGGCACCTTGGCAGAACGGTGTTCTTCACAATTCACAATGCTGGTCGAAGGGCGTCACTTAAGTGACAGTCTTGATGCAAACCATGGTCGAGATGCTTGGTAAACCGGTGATCTTTTGTCAGGCTCTCAGACAGTTGAGGAGCATCTCGCATCGTTCTCCGCGCAAGAACTCTTAGACCTGCAGTGGGCGATGGCATCGCAGCCTGTGCGGGAGCTCGCATTGGAGGCCCCTTTGCTGTCAAGCGGAAGTCTCAGAGAAGTCTCAGAGACGATGCAAATGGTTCACGTCCCCCATCCAGGCTGCCATCAGCCAAGCACCTGGGTGGGCGTTAAGGCGTCCATATGTGGCTCGGCCGAATGCCAAACACACCATGCAGAAAGTTGATGTCACTAGCCGGAGTTACATGGCCACTACCCTAGTCTACGTCATCGTCCCTTTGTGGGTACCCTAAGCAGAGATCCCAACAGGGACTTTAACTTGACTTGCGGGCCACTTCAAACATCTTGCAAAGCTTTCGATTGTTCTCAAACGAGGGCTCGCAACATACTCTCTGAAGTCCTATGGCCTGCCAATGCAAGCATCCTTGCGCTGAGGAACATCATGCGCAAGCTGGTAGCATGCCTGACTGCTTCAAGCACCTTGTCCTGGTGTTGCTCCTGCAGGACATTCAAAGAGCCAAGGCTGGGAAAGCCACGTCTGGGGGGTTGCAGAAGCTCCTAACAAGGTGGTGACAAAGCAGATTGACATGGATGTGTGGGTGTCTAACATTGAACCCAGTCCAAATTCGTTTGCCAGGCTTGGCACAGTTTGAGATTCAGGGTTCAGTTGAGGTGGATGACCAGGATCTTATGGGTCTCGCGCAGCCCAAGAGATGTGCCGTTGTCTACGTGGACACTCATGCCGGCGCCGGCATGTACAAGCTGGAGGCCAGTTTACGCTGCCGGAGTGGAACGAGTTCAGCCTACGCCCGAAGCTGTGTTTGACATTTGAGACAAGGGGGGGCTGGGTTGTTTATCCTCAGGGAGAGGATGGCTTCCTCCGCAGTGAGGAGGGCATTGGACGCCTTCGGAAATCTGCGAGTGGATGGAATAAGAAGCTAGTCTGAATCCAGCCTCTATGCGTTTCCTTGCTGGTTTTTGAAGTCACGTGGGAGCAGATTGTCCCACCTTTTTTTGGGGGGTACCTTATTGGGTCCATATTATGAATATCAGAAGCTCGACCTGCGCAACCTTTCTAGGGTTTAGGGTTGGGATGCTCCCCCTTGTGCCATAAAGGACTGTTAGTGTAAGGGGAACATCCCAAGTTTAGGGTCTGATCGCAGAGAGGTGCTGCCTGCGTTGTAAGTGTTTTCACTACACTTAGGGCTCGCCCTTCTGCCATGATATGTTGCTAGTCGACCGGAACCGACTCCTAATCTTGGGGTCCTTTGGCAATGATTCGGGCATCGGCTGTTGGGAAAGTAGCTGTGCTTCTACATCGACTCTGTAGAGCGCTATACACCTGAAACTCAAACGCTACATGGACAAACTACTACAAACACATGAAGAGCAGCTTCAAAGGGCACCGAGTGTGATTCGCATGCCGGTGTCCCAGTCGACACAAAAGGTAGACGGTGTATACATCATCTCGATACATCTTGGAGGACTATACGCAGCGGAATGCAGTGGAACGGTAGCAAAACCAGGCCCGACGCCACGCGGCTCTCTTTGTCTCTCTATCTCTCTCTGCAAGTGCATGTTTACATATATGTACTCACATATGCATTTCTGTATATATATATATATTTATGCAAGATTGTGAAAGAATATATTCATTCAGAAGTGTGTGATCAGTGTGTCCATCCAAGGCTGCCTAGTCCCATCAAGGACTACGTGGACATGGTGGAAGCCTTTCAGAACTCACCTTCTGAGTCAGGCTGGACCCGATCTTGTCGCTAGAGTTAAGATACTTCTCAAAGTCCAACAGCCTCATCTTGGCTGGTAAGGGTTGCAGTTGGCCTTCGGTAGCTCGGGCTATCGAAGGTTCTAAGGGGGACATCGCAAGCGGCATGCAATTAGAACTAGCGGCTGTCCTGGGCCCTTCAGCATGGCTTGCCAGAACTTCCAGACCCAGAGCGACTTCCAAGGCAACACCAGGTTAAACCCCCACCTCTACCTGTCAAACCTTTGCCCATTTGGAACAATTCTATCCCAGAACCCTCAGGCCATCTGCTAGGTTTCGAAAATTCGAATCCTGCACCACACCAAATTCCGTCGATGCCCTTCGAGGGTTCTGGCTTTCAGACGTGCAGGCCTCTACCCGGGGTCGCCGGCCCTGGCGGCGAAGATTCTGTCCGGCTGTGCGGGTTCCAGAGCCGTGCTTTTTGAGACGGCGGAGCCTGCGCATGCTGCCTTGTGTTGCCCGGCTGCACTCTGCATGATCTTTGGATGTGATGTCGCGCAAGGGAGCGGTTCTGTCAGCTGAGGTCAAAGCATGGCCACTTTCGCCCCGCACTTGCATGTGGATATTCTGCACGAAGATGCCTACAGGAAAGTCCTGCATGCGTGGTCGTCCCACTTACGCGGAGCTATTGCCACATGTCGCAGTCTGGCTGTGCAGCTGCGCAGCCTTCACGCGCAGGGGTCTTCCCAAGATGTTGGAAGTTATGTCATCTGAGCCAGAGAGGCCTACGGCGCTTCATGGCAGTCTCTTGTGCACAAAGCCCGTTCTTGAAGCTTCATGCGATTGACAGGGCTCTGGTGCTCATCGACCCTCCCTACGACTTGTGTTTCACGGACAACTTCAACTTCCGGTTGCAGGGAGCTGAGTGCCGTGCCACCTCGGACGGGCGGTCACTGAACGGCCTCCCCGCAAACGAGCAGCTTCCCCGGTTTCTTTTGTGGCTCAGGTTGGGAGAGCTTCGGGACCATTGGCCTTCAGCCTGTGTTGTGATATGGTGACCCTACGGTGCAGTATTAAAGAGTGAGGATTCTCGGTAGAAGGAGGAGGAGGAGGAGATGCTGCTAGTCTGGGGGATGCCGTGCAGTCTATAAAGCTTGGGCAAGTTCCCTGAGTTTCTGCCATAGCAGGTATCCGATGCGTGACAGCACAAGAACGCAGAGGGTCTACCGAAGGCCCCCTGAAGAGACCCGAGATGGCTTTTCTTGTGTCTAGGGAGGGTGTGGAGTCCAAGTGTTCTTTTGAGCCATATCGAAACTGAAGCGCTTTTTTCTGCAGGGTGAGATCCCTGTCCCTGGGGCCGGTCTTGGCCTGCGGGGTGGCCCAGAGGGACTCTGAGTTTTATATTCAGTCGTGCCCCCGCCCCCGCCCCCCCATCTTTGCGAGCTGAGGTGAAGTCTCAGTCTGCCGCAGTGCATGCCCTCGGAGTGCGGTAAGGTGCTGGTGCTGGTGTGCTTGTTTCTTGGTTTCCATGCCCCTCCAGTGGTTTAGTGGGTTGGTGTGTCTGCGAGTGAGGACTGGCATGATGATTGTGCGGCCTTCTGCGACTGCTTTGGAGCAGATCCAGAGTGCCGCTCGCTGCAGAAGAGGATCTGGCTTCATTGTGGCTATTGTACACTTAAAGGTTCTCGGTTATGTTTAGTTTTGAACTGCCCTCATAAGTAGTATTGTACTGATTCTTTGTTTTTTCGATGTTTTTTCTTGAGAGGTCCTGCCGGTGCTTGTCGACATGCTGGCGCCATCGCCAGAGGCCAGAGCCAGAGGGTTTCCTCTGTTGCCGTGTAGCCAGAGATCGGCTACGTCAGCCTATGTGTCGTTACGGCCAGGTCTCCCGAAATTGCGAGGTCTTTTGGATTTGACCTGCGCGCCGCAAAATGTTCTGATGTTTTGTCTTGTGCGGAGCTGACCCAGAACCTCTTCAATCGGGCATGGGCAATCACAGGTTGATGCTGTGTACAATGACTTTTCCTCTGGCACTTCATGCCACTGATTCCACCCAAACACTCGGCTCGAAAATGGTGATCAGGCATTTGGGTCGCATTGGTTAGTACTCTTGCAGATAGCAGCCAACAGCACAAAGTCGCTGGTCTCGCCTGTACTCTCATTCTCAGCACCATGCCGGTTACAACAGCAATGGCATGTGTTGCAGCTTGGCCACAGGAAGACAGCACTTGCACATGGGCCGTGTTCAAGTGTTTACCATTTGCTTTCTTGTTTCAAGTTCATTGGTGGAGCCCCTGCGCAAGGTACTGCTGGCCAGCCAAGTTGCGGCGCTGATGGAGTCAAAGCCTCCGGTGACGCTGCCTAAGAACGGGCAGTTGGACCCTTTCAGTGTGGCCCCTAGCTCCAGAAATGTCGTCGTGCTACCTGGCGTCTGCTAGCCGCTTGGCAGAGACTCACGCAGGCTATTCCATGTACTTGGATGACACGACGGAGGCCGGTTCCTGTCGGTGTGTGGCGTTATTTGGCAGGGGTGTTTCTAGGGGATCCCAAGCTCCAACTTGCAAATCTGCTGGTCTGCGTGTAGTGGATTTCTGATGGTAGTATGGGTGGTGTCTGGCATGTGCGCATGAGGACTCGCACCGTCTGCACCTGCCGCATCTTCGCGCCCCGGCTGGTCTGCACCTGCCACATCTTCGTGGCCCTTCTGCCGACAGGTTGCAGAAGGTCGCCAAGGCCTGTACTGTAACTTTCTGAGATCTGAGATGTTGGGGGGAAGGTGACACGTGCGGTATTCATACAGTGACACGAACGCACAACGCAGATCCAGCACGGGGGTGTGGATGACAGTGTGTTGCAGAGGCTGCGCCTGTGGTGGCGCTGGTGCTCAATGAGATCCCTGCGGTCCGAGAGCAGCACGGCACTCGGTCGGCATGACGCGTGCACGCATTGCAGTGCAGGCATCGCTGGGTTTCTTTCCCCATCTCCCGAGATGAAGTGAGGCTGTCGGACTGGCTCGGACGCGACGTGCCTGCGGCCAGCGGCGTCGCCAGTAATGTCATCCGCTTCGGCGTGAGCGAGGCGTGATGTGGCGTGCTTCCAGTGCTGGGCGATTAGCAGGGCTCCTGCCAGGCTCGGCGCCTGGGCGACAACGTGTTGGAGACTGTCCGCCAGCCCGTGCAAGCAGTGAGCAGGCACTGCTGTACGTTGCGATCACTGCGGATGTCTTGATCAGGTTTCTCATAATGTCTGATCGCCCCTGCTCCTGACCTCGCAGGAAAGTCGGCGCCGTGGCGAAGGAGTTGGAGAAAGACTTGGACGAGACCGTGCCGCAGCCTTGCCATCTCGAAAGCACGCAAGAGCTCGGCCTTGCGCGCGCAATGAGCTGGCAGTGCATGTGCTAGCCCGTTTGCTGGCATTGTGCTTGCGCCTCAGGGTCCTGGCCGAGCACAAGGCGGAGGAGCTAATCCACCACAAGCCAAAAGCTCCGCGCCGCTTCAGTCCGTGGCTGGTGGGCACGCTTTGGTTCGCGGCCCCTCGCCCCGAACATGCTGCAAGCAGTTCCCATCAACTCCTAATAGCCCCCAAGTCCTGCGCCGTGCCACGCTGCACGGACGTCGACGTGTGATGCCGACGGCTGCCGACATGGGTTCGTTTCCCCCTCCCTTCTCCCCCAGCCCGAAGGCCGCGCTCGGCATCCTTGCGTCGCGGCGCTGGGCGGCCCGGCGCCGCGGGCCCGCCATGGCCGGCTCGCGCCGCGCACGCCTGAACCCGACAGTGGCCATGGTGCCTGCGCGGATGGGGGGATGGGGAGGGAGCGGCAGGGAGGGGAGGGGAAGGGATTCGAGTTTGGTCTTCTGCTGTGCCACAGGATTTATGTCAGCTTGGGCTTTCTAGGCTTTTAGGGTTGAGGGTTTAGGGTGGCTCCGGGTTTGAGAGAAAGGGGCTGATTCCAGGATTTCGACGGTTGTCCACGTCTTCGCAGTTGTCTTGCTCTGAACCATGCATTGCAGATTCCAGCTGCGATCCCAAGCCGGGAGAGCGTGCTACAGAGGCCAGATGCAGCCCCAAGTTGACATTGTACATCGCTCATTGACAAGTCGTATCGCTGGAGCCTTGCAGGGCACCTTCTCAGTCTGCACTGACCCCCGTCAAAGTTCACAAAGTGGAGTGCCCTGGCTCCACAGTCCAAGTGGTAGACATTGCTAGGACCTTGCTAGACTGCTCGACTCCAGCTCAACACGGAGTAGTGAGGTTCCAGCGAGTGGGGCTCGGTGACGGAGCGGAGTGGGACTCGCCGGATGAGCAGGAGCAGGAGGCCGAGCCACCTCAGGCACGGCACGCCCAGGACTGCCCTGATGAGCAGACATGGGCTGCTTAAACTGTTGAGCCTCGTCGCGGTGTCAGGACATGCGGAGAATGCCCAGCTTCAGCAAGATGAACTCAAACACAGAATACTACCAGATCGGCGGTCATCAGGCACAACGTTCTCCAGAGAACTGCAAGCCCAGTCAGAACTGCGCTTGTCACCTGGTTCATGAAGTTCATGCCAGGACTCGCAGAGTCCATCTCCCCGCAAGCTTCAAAGCGACCGCGTCTTGGGTGCATGAGCTGCCTGGGCCTTACAGCATCTTACGGCCTTCGCGTTCAGTTTCGGCTGATGCTCATGCAGGCCCGCTAAACGGATGGGCCAGGTGTGCACATGCAACTACTAGGTGGCCTAGGACGTTTGTTAGAGTTGCATTCTGCATGTTTGATAGCTGAAGTCAGGCCGATCGCGCCGGCAAAATAAGTGACCCTTGTGTGTGAAGCGGCATGGCGGGGGATCACCATCATTTCTTCCCAAAGGGAATGCCACATAGCCTCGGCTTTTCGGTTGCAAAGGGATGCACATCATGTCAGGACATGACACTTAGACAAGAAAACGCTGTTTGTAGCAACCGCAAAGACGATGCACATGGAGCACAAAGGGGCTTCCGTAAGTGAGTGGCTTTCGGCAGGCTCAGTCGGCATACAACTGCAAGTACATACATGAATTCGGTTTGATGCTTGGAGTACACCATGAACCCACGCAAAGCTTTCGTGATATCCGTTGATGTCTTGAGGTGACACGCAGTACTGGTACAAGGGACCAGATCTCAAAGAGGATTGGCAGTGTGTAGCCGGCGTTTTCAAGCCTGGCAGCGCTTGTCCAGGCAGAGCCGCCCAGCATTAATCTGGAAGTTGCGTGCAGCAACACATCAGTCAGATCAGCCTGATGTCACTTCCCGGCGTTCGAAGCTCATTCGGGGACCTTGGACAAGCATCGTGGCTTGCTGTCCGGGATAGTGACATTGGGTCTTCTGCGTCCAGTGTCCGAGTCTTGAATGCGACAGCGTGAATTTCAACAGTCTGAGCACAATGTTTCCCTGGTCCTGCCAATGGCCACCACATCATGACCGGAATGTCTTTTGATCTGAGCTTCGTGCAAGCTTTCCAGAATGAGACCCTGCTGGTTGTGCAGTTGGCTTCACAAGGTGCTGAGCATGTCATCATATGTCACCAGTAGCAGGCACGGTGTGTGTCCTTCAAACATTGCAGACATAAGCACTTGTAACTTATTAACTTCAAGCTCATCTCCTTGCGTGACGGTGATCCTGAGTATGTCCTGAGATGCGGCCTCAACCTTCCGTCATCCCAAGATGGCACCTCGTGTGCATCGCACAAGCGTCGTGCAAGCAGTCCACAAGTACGAACGGAACGAAGTTGTTTTGCTCGACATGATTAGTTCCACATGGCCGATTCTTCGGGCACTCTGTTCCCGCCTCAGTTGTGTGGCACGCTGCCGCCGCCATCCCTTCTCGTTCGCCGTTGATGAAAGGTTGAGGGTCCTAACGGTTCTTTGTCATTAGGCATCTCAAAGGGAATGTATTGTCAGTTCTCTAAATCACGGCTCCGTTGTAGTGGCATGGCCGCTTGCATTTTGCGTGCTCAAAAAGGGGCCATGAATGTAGAATGTGGGAGCCAGATTGCGTTTGATGGTTGTTGCTCTTGTGTCGTCTTTCTCCCCCACCCTGAGAGTCATGAGGCCCCTGGAACATGAGAAGGTTCTCCTGCAGGCCGGACTCAGATGGTGTTGTACTCGTACCTCTCTTGAGCGCTACGGACAGTACACACATGCACGTGCAGACGCATGTGAATGAAACAGGTGGCCGCACTGCTCCGCAGTTCGTGCGGCAGGGCGACGGCCACGGCCCTGGAGGCCTTCGTCTACGTACATGAGCCACTCCTCAGCCTTCCTCCTGATCCCCTGAGAGTCCGAAGCTTCTGAAATCCTTCGCAGCCAAGCCTTTCTTTCTTCTTCTGCTGCCACTAGCGAGAGAGGTGTCCCTGCGACGATCTGACGGGACCACAGAGGTGAAGCGGCGGATGTGCCAAGATGTAGTTGTTTGAAACACTGCCTTGATCTCAAGGCTCAAAGTTTTCAGTTGACGTGCTCGCAGCCTTCATCTGTGCCAGAAGATCATCAGCTAGTGTCGCTCTCAGACAGGGCAGGTAGTAGCCAAGATTGCTAGGAAGCTTCGTGTGGGAGATCAAGAAGTGCCACTTGCTGTTCAGAGGTCGGTTTCAGCCTCTTGGCCTGGATAGCCAGTTCGCCCAGCCGGCATGTGGCCGTGCTATGTCTCACAGTTCTGTGGGCTGCAGAACGTAGATGAGGATCCAAGGCTAGCCTTTAGCATGATGAAGCTTAATGGGGGTTGCGGCAGGTTTTTCCTTCTCTGGTGCTTCCGCCTGGAGGCAGGGGGACGACAGGAGTGGGGTCCAGGTGGTTTGATGCTTTGCTGAAGCGTAGCGAGGTGGGGCCTTGTCGGCGCTGGAAGCCGCTGCTTTGGCTCCGAAGCCGGGGGCCTCAGTTTAGGGTTTAGGGTTTAGGGTTTAGGTTTTAGGGTTTAGGGTTTAGGGCTTAGGGCTTTAGGGTTTAGGGTTTCGCAGAATCTTCACCAGGTCTCAGTTTCAAGTTGCCGAGGCCTCGGGTCCGTGGCAGCTACCCTCGTGGTGATTGCGGACATTGGGTGTGGCGCTGTGTCTTTCAGGGCGGGCCGTTCAAGAGTTGCGCAGAGCGCACCTGCCTTGCCTCGTTGCTTGGCCAGGTTTCATCTGGGGCGCAGGTCCTGGACAAAGCAGGCCGCGTGTGCATGGATGCACATGGATCCTTTCATGTTTTCGATGGATCTCCAGGACTCGCGGAGATACCAGAGATTTGCAGGTACGAAAAGAGCTTTAGTGCTGCGCAAGCTGCGAAGTTGCGCGAAGGCCTTTGAGGCGGGTCTCGGGCTCCATGGGGCGGCTGTGGCCGAGGCGGTGCTCGAGGTGACCAGGCGCGGTCTTCTTCACAAGCAGCCACGTCATCCTATGCGGTACAGTTCTCCTTTGTTCTCAATTTGGGGTCCCCGTCTTTTGGGCCCCTCTAATCTCCTCTTACTTGTAAGGCTTTTTTGTTCAAAAGGTACTTTTTACAAGGGGCTCTAGTTGCAAGCTTCTCCTCGGCAAGCATCCTTGCTGGCGAGGCCGGGGCCCTCCAGGTGCGCGGCGCTTGCTGGGGCAGGATCCTCGGGCGCGAGGAAAGATGAAGCGGCCAAAGGGGAGTTTCCCCCAATAGGGGTACTTTGAATATACCCCCCCCTATGTCTCGGAAACCCCCAGAGGCAATCACAAGCAGCCCTTGTTCTACGGCCGTGAGGGTGTTGGAGGGTCTGCTGCAGGTGGTCGAGCACATGGTGGCTGCTGCCAGCCTTGTGCTGACACTCTCGGGATATGATGCAGAGTCAACAGGCCAGATCAGAGATGCACTTGGGGCAGCCACTGCAGCTCAGAGCAAGACGAAGGCCAAGGCCGCGTGTCAAGGATTTGGTGCTGGTACCCCGTTTCCTCCGGTCTCCTCTGGCTCCAGGGATTATCTGTCTGCGTTATGATGCAAAGTCGATCTCCATGGTGCCGAACATTGTCATGTAGACATGTGGAAGGAAGTCAACTTGCACGTTGCGGCAATAGAGGCCATTGCCTTGACGAATGTATCTTAAACAATGCCGAGAATTTCGACCTATACCAGCGCCTCCAAGATCCAGCCCCCTCTCTTCTCTTTTGCTTCCACCGTATCTGGATTCGCAGCTTAGATTTCGGAACGACGTGGCTCCTACTCATCGGGTTGCCCTGGACACCTGCTCAGATACTCATAGCAGTCATAGCACCTAGTACAGTAATTCTGAAGCCTCAAAATGGAGATCACAGTCTTGCCTGAGCTATGCAGACGGCGGTCATGATGTTCGAACGCAAGCTTTCGCATTTTGCATTGCTCCTTTCGCGGCAGAACACAGCTTCTGCCAAGAGGCCGGCCAGAGTTGGCGCCCTTGCTTAGATTGTCAACCTTTGGCCCCTCTGCCACGTGCATTACCGCCCATGACCAAATCAACATCTTCATAGGAGTCTGCAAAAGAAGATGGAGCCGGAAGGGAAACATTGGATTGCAACTGCTGCTTGTTGGAGAGCCGGATAGAGAAATGCAGGTCATTCGACTTCATACTGACGTTGGCCTACACCTGATCTTGCCCAAACACTCCCCCAAAGACGTACATGCCATCTTCAGCAGGGCTTCGTCCTGGAGCAGTGCTGGCCGTGAGCACATTTGACTTCCAAATTTCACCACCGAAGATGTACATTGCATCAGAGTCAGAGCTCCATGCAGCGGCGGGGCCATCGCGCTGCCACGTGTTCTGGTCGCCTGGAGGGATGGACAGCCACGGAGTGAGGACGAAGAACATGCCTGTCTGACTCCCGGCACTCGTTTCAGGGCTCAACATGGGGGTGGCCTCATGTTGGCCACCAATGCCGATGGCAACCCGGCCGTGGGCATGGCAGTCACGGAAAGTAGCTGGGCCGATCCGACAGTTTCGTGAAACGCATTGACGTGGCAGTGCATGTTGACCGCGATTGAGTATTGGCCACTCGAAGCCCTACTCGAGGGAAGTTGCAGCCTGTTTCTTGAGCGCGTACCTTCGCACCATTGGCCCGGTGTGGGGCTCTAACTGATGCTTGCCACCACCTCTCAGCCTGTCGCTTTACGGCTTAGGCGTATGGCTGAGGAGCTATGAGCTATTGCGTTCGATGGGGGTGGCCCCATGTGAACCACATATGACCGCGATTTCGTCGCCAACTTCTAGCACAGCAAATACATGCAAATACAGCTTGTCCAGGAACAGCAGTGGCCCTGACAGGCTTTGAGCTATGGCCAAGCACCACCTTCACAACCTGCGCAGTATCGACCACAATGAGCTTGTTTGTGAGTCATCCCATCCGCAATGTCGCGAGAAAAAGCTGGGGCCCGGTGAATGCCAGTCGAACCTTCCGGAATCTCCCTCGCGATTGCAGAGAATCAGCAACCGGACCAAGATTCAGGCTGCTTGTGGTGGATTTGTTTATCAGCGACGAGTGAATTAACGTGCGGAAAAAATCCTGGGATAAAAAGGCAGCAAAGGCAGTCATCGGTTTGCCTGCATGTGCCTCTGGGCAAACTTTGCAGGCCTTCTGCTGGGATTGCTTGCCGAGGCATCATTGGCCTGGCACCCTGACGACAGCAAGTTGTGCAGTAACTGTGTAGGTACAAAAAAACACAGCTGAGACAGTAAGTGGCCCTTGGCAAGCTGCTGGTGCAAGCGAAGCGGTGTTGTTGCCGCGCGCTGTGCCCTGGACGGCTATGAGGAACTGCTCGGTCTCGCAATCAGGTCCCTTTCAATTTCGCGGCATGGTTGGGATGCGGCAGGCAGCAAGCAGCAAGCAGCAAGCAGCCGCAAGCGAATCTTTGCTAACCTTCTGGTCGAACGCAGCCTTGCTTGGTAGGCGGGCAGTCCTGGAATCAGCTCTGGCTTTGGTGTGATTCTCAGATATTCTCAAGCGCCGGCCTTCAAGGGCCCGCGCACATATTGTGTTACGGTCTTGTGGAGATGATGACCCTGCAGTCCACCTCGTAGTTTCGTTGTCATCTAGCAGGTGCTTCTGGCACGAGTCCTGCCGGTATTCCTGCCGATTGAGGCAGGAATGTGGGAGGTGCTGCTGGTAGCTCTGATAGCGATTGAACGCCCCAGGCGATCCCACTCAAGGTGCTGACGCTGTGTTTCTGCGCGGCTGGGCTGCTGAGGTGCCATCTGAGACGGGTCCACTCGGGCGAAATTCGTTTGAAGCATTCGCTTGGAGGCTCCCCAACCTGATGTCCCAGGTGAAGCCAGACGGGGAGCTTACGGAGCTTCTGAGTCGAGTGATCTTGTGCATCGTGCACATGCATAGCATAGATACAGTACAGGCATCCCGTGCTTGAGACCTTCATCTGCCCTGAGGCAGCACACGGTGGCGAGTTGGAGCTGGAACTCCTCCGAGGCCCAGTGGTTGGGCGTTGCCCCTAATATTGCGCTCTTACGGGTGCCGATGCGTGAGGAACAAGTGATGTCGGAGCCGAGACCCGCCCGGCCGTGGCACAGGACGGGCAGTCCTCAGAAGTGAGATCGGATTCCTCCCTTGAAGAGTTTCGAGATGGAAAAGAGGAACCGTGCCGCTTGATGATCCACGGTGAACTGCCCTGAGATGGGCAGCTGAGCGCATTCTTTTCTCCTCCATTTCTCGTGGCTTGCACGAGGCTGTCTACGACGTCACGAGCTTCATGCAGGATGGCAGCTGTCCATGTGCTCTTTGTGCTCTGCAACTAGTTAAGCAGCACAGTGTTTGCGGAAAGGAGGGCTTTTACCCTGCCATGTGTGCATTCTCACCTGTTTTTTGTTGTGCTTGCGCGTCAGCAATTATCAGCACAAGCTTGCTGGCACACTCAGCACATTCTCAGCACCATGCCGTTTGCAATTGCGTGTGTTGCAGCTCGGCCGCAGGAAGACAGCACTCGCATATGTGTCGTGTTTAAGTTTTGGGTAGAGCCCCTGACGCAAGGTACTGCTCGCCAGCCAAGTTCTGGCGCTGACGGAGACAAAGCCTCCGGCGACGCGGCCGAAGAATGGGCAGCTGGACCATTTCAGTGTGGCCCCCCAGATCCAGAAATGTCGTCACGTGATGTCACGCGGCCGTCTGCTAGCCGCTTTGCACTCGGGCAGGCTATTCCATGTACTTGGATGACAAGACGGAGGCCGGTTTCTGTAGGTGCCTATGTGCTGGTGGCTGTGTCTGGTGGATTCGCGCATGAGGACTCGCGTCTGCACCTGCCGCATCTTCGTGCCCCGTCTGGTCTGCACCTGCCACATCTTCGTGGCCCCTCTGCCGAGAGGCTGCGGAAGGTCGCCAAGGCCTGTACTCTAACTTTTTTTTGGGGGGGGAAGGTGACACCGTGCAGGATTCATGCAGTGACACGCATGCACAACTCAGATCCCACAGGGGCGTGGATGACTGCGCTTTGCAGAGGCTGCACCTGTGGTGGCTGTGGTGCTCAATGAGATCCCTGCGGTCCGAGAGCAGCACGGCCCTCGGTCGGCATGAGGCGTGCACACATTGCGCAGTCCATGCATGCTTAGCCTCTCTGGGCATCGCTGGGTTTCTTTCCCCATCTCTCAGATGAAGTGAGGCTGTCGGATTGGCTCGGACGCGACGTGCCTGCGGCCAGTGGCGTCGCCAGTGATATCATCCGCTTCGGCGCGAGCGAGGCGTGATGTGGCATGCTTCCAGTGCTGGGCGAGCCCAAGGCGGCCAAGGTGCACTAGCAGGGCTGGGGCCAGGCTCGGCGCCTGGGCGACAACGTGTTGGAGACTGTCCGCCAGCCCGTGCAGGCAGTGAGCAGGCCCTGCGGATGTCTTGAGTTGCTCAAAATGTCTGATCGCCCCTGCTCCTGACCTCGCAGGAAAGTCGGCGCCGTGGCGAAGGAGTTGGAGAAAGACTTGGACGAGACCGTGCCGCAGCCTTGCCATCTCGAAAGCACGCAAGAGCTCGGCCTTGCGCGCGCAATGAGCTGGCAGTGCATGTGCTAGCCCGTTTGCTGGCATTGTGCTTGCGCCTCAGGGTCCTGGCCGAGCACAAGGCGGAGGAGCTAATCCACCACAAGCCAAAAGCTCCGCGCCGCTTCAGTCCGTGGCTGGTGGGCACGCTTTGGTTCGCGGCCCCTCGCCCCGAACATGCTGCGAGCAGTTCCGTTCCCATCAACTCCTAATAGCCCCCAAGTCCTGCGCCGTGCCACGCTGCGCGGACGTCGACATGGGTTCCTTTTCCGGACTTTCCCCTCCCCCTGTCCCCTCTGCTCCATCCCCAAGGCCGCGCTCGGCATCCTCGCGTCGCGCCGCTGGGCGGCCCGGCGCCGCGGGCCCGCCATGGCCGGCTCGCGCCGCGCGCGTCGTAACTCGCCAACGGCCTTCTTGGGTCCTCAGGCTGTCCTGATTTTGTAGGGTCCGGGTGTGTTCAGGGCGCACCCTACTTGATTCTTTGAAGCCTCCACCTGAGGCAGCGATCCTTAATCGGGGAACCATTTCTCATAGTGGGATAACACGGGTACTACTCGTTTTGTTTCATGGTCATGCTTGAAGGACTCCTTGACAGCAACATTCGCACGGGGGGCCGGGGTGGGGGGAGGGCCTTCGTCATATTGAGCCCTCGAAGGTCGGTCGACGAGCGCCCCGTAGCCATGAAATCTGCATATCGAGCCGCCTCACATCTGTGCCGGTGCTTCTGCTTTTCGTGAGTCAACACTGGCGAAGTTTGGAGCTGCTTAACGGAAACGTCGGAAATTTAGTGCCTTCGAACTTACCGGTTTGAAGAACTTTGAACATGTCGTCCTGGCTCATGCGGCCAGCTCACCAGAGTGCCAGATTCACCGGAGAGCACCACGCAGCAACCTCAAAACATCGCAGAGCCCAATCTGAACATGTGGAATGTTGAGAATTGTTCATCGTGGCTTCGTGGCCTGATGCAGATTCCGCCTGTCTCAACGGCTCGGGAGGGTGTGCTGCAGAGGCCAGACATGGGATAGAGAGGGTGTGGGTTGATTTGAGATTATTTGAGAGTTCCTTTGGTCAAGGGCTTCTGCTTTCCAGCTCTGTGGACACGCGCATCAACTCTGGATCATACGTCACTTGCGTGCTTTCTCCAGGGCCCCTTCCCAGTCGCAGCTGACTCCCGTGAAGGTTCACAAGGTGGAGTTTCTTGGCCGAAACCCTAAGCCCGAAACCCTAAACCCTGAAACCTGAACCCTAAACCCTAAGGCCTAAACCCTAAACCCTAAACCCAAACCCCACAGAGTCCCTCTCATGTTCTCTCGCAGCGTCAATGCTGCCCAGGTTTCAACGAGTGGGGGTTCAAGATGGTGCGGACTGGGACTCCCCGGATGAACAGGATGGCGATGAGTCGCCACAGGTTCGGGGGGCTGAGCACTGTAGGGTTTAGGGCTAAAGTTTAGGGTTTAGGGTTTCGGGTTTAGGGCTTAGGTCTTTTGGGATTGGGGTTTAGGGCTTAGCACCTGGTGCACTCTAGGACGCTCGACGGGAGCCCGAGAAGCTGAGCCCAAATACGGAGTACTACAAGATGCACAGCCAACAGGCAAGGCACCTTGTGCATCTGACAGTTCCCTTCTTTTTTGTTGTGGTGCCTCCTCCGCCAAATTCAGGACTCTCCTCGTGAGGAACGTCGTAATGATCTTGTTTTGGGAGCCTAAGCTTCGAGGACTCCTGGGCTTTCACAGCTTCCGCCCCTTGAAAACTCGGCAGGCTTCGGGGTTTTCGATAGTGCCGATGACAATGAGACCTGGCAACATATGCAACCGTATGCAACATGCTGCAGCATCATATCGAGGGACATATGCCTGCCTTGCGACAGTTTCTGCTGGTATGGGAGCAAGAGCTGCTCAGAGCATCCTGCTCACAAGAACCCGTGGAAGGACTCCGAGTCCACGAATTTCACTGAGTCGTGGTCGCGTCACACAAGGTGGCGTTAGGACAGAACCTGTTTTTTGAAACGTTGACTTAGGAGCTGAGATAGCTGACGAGCCAGCAGAGCAGTGTGCAACATGAGTTTTGGGTATCAGTGGGTTTGGTGGGTTTGTCTTTGAAAGCACCACAGTGCCTAAATCTTGTACATTGTAGCTAGCGGCCCTGTTTCGCCAAACAAGCGACGCTGCATGGAAGAGCATGCAGAGATCTGTCGCTTACCATGCCCTGGCTTTGCTACCGCGGGCAGGAGGGGGGTATGTAGTGGACGAAGCTGCAGCCCCGTATGAGCTCAGAGCTGTTCGGAATGTTTCAGCAGCATTCTTGAACGTTGGGCCCCCCTCCCCCGCGCTTGGATGTCGAGCCTGGACGGTTCCAACAGGAATTGGATGCAGCAGGCTCGCGCCTGGCAAAGGGGCCTGAAAAGATGGCAGAGCTCGTTTCGAACCGGAGATCTCGATGGGTTTCGGTTTGTACCCACTTGGCCAGAGTGACATGTAAGTGCTTTGGCGAGGATCTGTCAGAAGGCCCTGGAGCAATATTGATTTCAAGGGGATTGCAAATGATGTGCGCAGCACATTGTCTTCAGCTCTCTACTGCCGCCGATGTGTACAAGATGTCTTGAAATCCCCTTGAACGCACAGTTTCAAGACGATTTTCAGGATGGCTCTACTCGCAGATGAAACTTGTTTCAGACCCTGGCTCGATAAGCTTTCGAAGTGACAGGTTCTTCCGCTCCCAACGTAGGTGGGCATCCCGTGTGTTTTCGGGAGGGGGGGGGAAGAGAGTAGCGCCAACACTGCACACCGCAATCGCCGTCGCTCTGCAGGCTTTTAACCTGCGCGACACGCCTTGCGACCGGCCCAGGGTTTTCAGGAGAGTTTGGGGACAGGAAGGCTCGAAATGCTGTAATTTAATGTTTGTCGACGTAGTCTTCACTTTGCCCTGAGTCAGAGGCCGTAGGCGATGTGAGATTTCAAGCCGCAGAGAAGTCGCCGATGGGCCAAGCTCGTACTGAGTCAGCCGCACAGATGGCAGGGCCCAGGAGAAAAAGGCGCAGGGCTGTTTCTCAGAGCTGGGTAGGGAGGGCTTGCAAAGTGCTGGATACCCTACCACCTAAAACAACAAAAACACAAGTAACTAGTAACTAGGTTGCATCCCACTAGAATCCCCAAAACGCCCAGGACCACCCGGGCGGGGCGGCGCCCTTGCAGCGCCTGGCTGGCCAGGTCTGCGTGCACAGAGTGTCGCCTTCTCGAAGGTAGAAAGAAGCGCTGCGCTCACTCCACGTGGCGACGCTGCTCAGGACGCTACGGCTGCATTCATGGCGGTGGGACACTCGGAGGCCCATGTGGGAGGCAGCTTAAGGCAATTTCTGCGTAACAAAGAAAGCAGAAAAAGCGCAGCTGCTGCAGGCAGCCTGGCAGCTGCTTCAGAGCTTCGAGTTGGCGCCTTCGCTTGCAGGCATCCTTTGGTCTTCCACAAGGGCGTATTGAAAGTCTGAGCATGACATGACACTGGCGAGACGATCACGTGATTCACGTGGGCTTTTGTCGGATCGTTGCGCCAGGTCGCCCTGCACAGCCGGAGTGCGCCGACAGTCTGAGACAGACCCTTGCAGCACTAGCACATGAGTGAGTCTAGTCTAGTAAATGTGCCGCGGCGCCGCTACCAGCAAGAACATCATATATCGCAAGATGACCTGTTGAGTAACAATTGGGAGCAAGTCGTGGTAGAGGAAGCTGTGCAAAGCTGCGAGTGGCTAGCCCAAGAACAAATTGAATACAAATTGAGCGTGGCCAACACGAAGACCAAAAAACAGCTTTTGTCGTGCTTGCGCCGGTTTCAGGTACGACATGTACGACTTCACGCAAGAGCCACCTGGCACGTGGGACTCGTTGCGTCGGCTGCTCTCCTCTGCAGTAGCTGCCCGAGACATCGCGTGGGAAGACGTCAGGCTCTGGTTTGTACCTCCTTGTATGACGCTTATGGTTCATGGGAAAGTCAATGAACAGAGCTATAGTTCACACTTCTTCGTGGGGTGGTAGTGACTTGGGAGATTCCCAGGCAGCCGTGTTCCTCATGCTCGCCATGCAGACTGCCTTGAGTGAAGGTTCAGAGCGCTCATCGAGCTGTTGCATACATGGCTTTGCAGCAGCAGGGGGTCGTGCGGCATGTTCACCTTCTGACGGTGTGCTGACAGGTGGCTCCAGAGAACGAGGTGCGGCGCCTGAGGCGATGGCACCGGCATTGTTGGGGATGAGCACGGCGGCCGCCCTTGCCAGCCACCCGGTGTATACTTGCGAGATCTTGCGAGATTCTGGGAGCCTCTCAGTTGTTGACTTCGGCCATGAACCCCAGGCCCAGCTCTTCTTTTGGATGACTCTGCCTGAGAGTTGGCAGGAGCCGGCCGGAGGCTCAGGGAGGGCGCCGGAGAGCGCCGGTGATTTTTTTTCTTCTTCCTTGTGTCGCTGACAAGTGATGTGCTGCAGTCCGCAGCCTTGTGCTCAAAAATGGCGGACCCTCCGAACAACTCCAGTGATGCTGCTGCCAAGACTGACCTGACATCACATTTTCATGCGAGATGTGTTTTACATTTTTCGGCCACTTGTTATGAACAGTGTTGGTCACAGTTGGCTGGCCGGCCGCGAAAAGCATGCTTCAGGCTTCTTCAGGCTTGCAGATCGCTTCCCCAGTCGCTTTTCGTTTTGCAGGAGACTCGCGGAGATGGAGCAGGCATCACAGCAGTACGCAGCCAAGCTGGTTGGTCCAGGGGCCCCTGGGCACAAGAAGGCACCAGCATCCTGCTGTTCAAAATCGGTCCTAAACGAGAAGCTCAGGACATGCTGAGCGGGCGTGTCCGGGCATCCGTGGCAAAGGAAGCCTACGCTTCACTCGATGATCGTGATGTGTGGAAGCAGTTAAAGGCCGGTGGATAGCAATGGCAAAGGGTGAAGGTGTTGCTAGTGGTGATGCTTTGCGTGCAGGCATCTCCGAAGGACGCCGGACTGCTGGACCGAATGCTTGCCATTGAGCACACGTTCACAGGCCGTTGAAACCAAAAGCCCAAGCTGCTGAGCCCGCGCGGCTTTTGATCAATTGGAGAGAGAGAGTGGAGGCTGCCAGCGTTCGCACTTGCCCAATGTGCAAGCGGACGCAGATACAACATTGCTACCATGCCACGTTCCGGAGAATCTGCGCAGGTGAATGTAGCCCGACACTTGCTTGTGTGGTTCATGCCGTCCTTCATTTGCAGCTGCTTCTTGGAGATAATTTGCTGTCATGTGATGCAGCTACCAGTGCTGCGACTCTGACACGGACCACTAGTCATGGAGAGTAGGCAGAAGAAATACACACCTTCATCACGTTTCTCCTCATGGCTGATTCTCAAGACACAGCAACATCTGCACAAAGGACCACAAACCCAGAATGGTACAACGCCGTATTGGAACGTGTGGCTGCTGAGCTCATTGCTGATGGAGTCTCAGTTCAAAGCTATGTGCGGTCTTTGTGTCAGATGTTCGGATCCAACTGGACGCCTTGAGGAGAGATGGACGCGAAGGCCACATTTGAAGACAAAGCTATGTGCCTCACGGAGATCATTGCCGTGGCCGCTGGTGGGGCCGGCTTGGCAGCATTCTACAAGGCCTTGGAAACACAATACCTGACTGACCGATCGTTTGAGAATGCTTTAGAGTTCACGCTGTGTGCACATTGCACGGGCTGGCTCTGCGAGGCTCTTGAAAAGCCCCTGCCTCCTTTGCCAGCCAGTGCTTCGGGCTCACCACTTTTTAAGGGCCTGAGGGATTTCTACACCGGAAAGATCGTCGTCACCTCCGGCTATGGAATCTTGACAAGAAAGTGCATACAAGCAGGCAAGAGACATTTAGCGCGTGCAGTCCTTGCAGATGCTGAGGCTATCAGTTGAACGAGAAGGAGGCATCAAAGATTTCGGAGGCGGCTCTCAAGAAAGCGGGCTGGACCTCCATGGCCGAGTACAAGCCAAACCTCGAAAGCGTGAATCCGCCGCTCGAAGGCTCAGCAGACTTTTGCATTCGGGGCGCCTTTATGAAGGCTCCTCAATGCTCCTCCCCCCCAAGGCAACTTTTGTAAAGCTTTGTTGGGCTGCGTCAGGCTGGGAGGGCTGGGGCAGGTTTCTCTAGCAGCCTTCGGATGCCCTCGGTTCTGCGGTTCTGCAAAGGTTCGTCAAGCTGTCCCTGACGCCGTACTCGAGTCTGGCCCAGCAAGACTGGATGGAAGTGCAGTATATTCCGCCTGTGGATGTGAGTGAATTTGCGGCAAAGCCGCCGCCGTCACGGTGTCCCTCGACCCACGTTGCTCTTGATGGCTGCCTGTTTTTTTTTGTTGTCCTTAGTCATCCTTAGTCATTTTGTGTGATTAAGTGTGGTCGTTCTACTTGTACTTGAAATGAGCTGAGCAATGTGAACAAACGAAAGCCCTGAGGCCTGTCTCGTCCAGATTTGGAGGTCGTGGCAGCTGCGTACGCGGGAGCCGTGACTTGCCATTTCTGACACGAAGGGCACGCTCTGTTCGTGCATCTGACCTCTGGCATGAGCACTGAAGACAATCCGGCGAAGGCGCACTCGATGGGCTATTGTAGCATTCGTGCGGACGTGTTGCCACTTGTGGTAAAGGCTTTATCAGGGATTGGCCTGCTCGTTTCAAAAAGAGCGATGCAAAGCGCCTCCCGGATGAAAGGGGGAGCTTTCAAAAGTCCAAGCGCCCCAAAGCAAAGCGCGAGGCTGAGATGGAGGCGTTGGCCAAGGCACTGCCTGTTGTGTCTCCCTCTGTCTGCAGATGAGCCTGCTGGCAAGAAGACCTGCTTTGCTTGGAGAGGCTTGTAAAAGTCTCCTGGGTAGTTGTGGCTGCTTTTGGCAAAGGAGTCCCTCCTCAAACATCCCTTGCTGAGTGCCCTTGCAAGCCGAACCCAACTGAAAGGCCGTTGCAAAGGCATCGGACGCGGAGATTCGCAGCTGCGCTGCGGCCCTGGCGATCCTCGTCTGCAAAGGCTGGCATGGGCTTTTCGTGTACCCGTGGTGTATGGCTCCTGGAGAGATCTGATTGTGCTTTCCAGGTGGGGGCTTGCGGAAGGAAGGGGCCCCTAGTATAGACCCCGAATAGGATTCCCTTATCATAAAAACACCTAAACAGGTACCCCTAATTTCTTAGGGAAACTCTTCAAGTGTTCCACTGCTTAAGGACGAAGGCGGGTGAGCACGTCTACCTTGACACGGTGGCCGTCTCTGCAGCATTCGCTACCATGACGAGGCGCCTCCTCTCTTTCCCGCTCTGTCGAGGGAGCCTTTTGGGAGCCTTTGTGCGATTTGAGCTGAGAGCTGGGCAGGATGGTTGACGCAACAGGCCATTCGGCCGCTCTCGTGGCCACAAAAGTGGCCAAGCACGTGACCAACTCAGTTGCCGCTGCCTTAGTGCGCGATGTCGCTTTTTATGTCTTCTATATTTTCGTCTCGATGACGTGGCACAAACTTGCGATCCAGCACCGCAGGTAAAGGTCAAGCGATCACTCCGCCGCCCGTGGTTGCTGGTCCTGCTGGGGGCCTTGCTGGCCGGTGCAGCTGCAAAAAAGCTGGTAAGGCATTTTTAAGATCCCTCCGCTTCGCTCAAAACGGGCACGGGCAGGAAGCGCACAGAGAAGTATTTCCATACTCATCATGTCTGTACTACGTATATATTGTGGTATGCATGCATATATGGGCTTCCACTGCTTCCGGGCATCTTCTGGCTTTCAGGACGCATTGCGGTGGGCAAATGACATCAGGCACAGTTCCCGTCAGCTGCTGGCAGCAAAGAAGATCAAGAAGCAACAAGCAAAGGATTGCACCCTAAACCCTAAACCCTAAACCCTAAACCCTAAACCCTAAACCCTAGACCCTAAACCCTAAACCCTAAACCCTAAACCCTAAACCCTAAACCCTAACCCTAAACCCTAAACCCTAACCCTAAATCCTAAACCCTAAACCCTGAATCTTCGGCAGAAAGGGTTGGAGAAGCCCAGCTGGGCACCTGTGCCTTTTTGAACCTTCCACCCATGCGTCTTGCAGTGCTGGAATGGCCACTGCAGTGGGGGGGGCCCTTCTGACATTGAGGGTCTTGAGGTTGATCTTCACTATGTGGTCCTTTTTTGTGCCCCAAATTCTAAACAAATGCAGCCAAAGGAGCCTGTTTTCTGGCCCCAGCGCCCCACAGATGAAAGGTTTGTGCAGAAGGCTTGGGAGTGCCAAGCATGGAGTTCTTCGCACCGGGGGCGCTGCCTATTGCCTGCGCTAATTCCCGTGCGATGTTGAGCTTCCAGACTCGTAACTGTGCTGAAGCAAGATACAAAAAGACTCTGCCCCCGGGGTCTCGCAGCTGCTGTGTGCTGGCGGGCCTCGTTGCTCTGCAGACTGTGCTGTGGCCACGAGGTTCTCCGTCGCCCGCCCTTGATGACAGGCTCCTTGTTCATGCTTCTCTGCTGTTCGTATGACTTGGCTGAATGGGAACGAGAGAGCTGTTGTGGGGTCAAAGCGTGCTGCGCAGCGTTCTCGCGAGGCATCTGCCAAGTTGTGCTCGCATTGAGTGTGCACATGACATCCTTTCCAGCTGGACACTCTGCTGTTGGGACATTTATGCTGTTGCCTCTCTGTATCGGGCGAGGGGCCCCCTCTTGAGGTGGTGGCACTGGGCGCGGCTATTGGCTTCCTGGCCCATCAAGTCGGAACGGAGGCAGGTTTGTCTTGTTTGCCCACATGAAGGTACGCTTCTCAAGAATTGGAGCCTGTTGCTACCTCAGTTAGAAAAGTGCAGGGCTCTGAAGCCTCGAATCTAAGCTTTGAGGTTGCATCTCGGCAACTTTTTTCTGGCTTCCAGCGCCGGGCGGACGCATCACTTGTGCGGCAACCTGCGGCATGAGCACAAGGGCTGGGAGCGGAAATCCTCAAGTACTTGGCCGCTTCTGAAGCTTGAGATCTAGAGTTCGTGCCTCTTACTAGTACCTCTGGTACCGCACAGCTTCCTAGTTCCCCCATCCTGACGAGGAGACCCGTGAGAAGGGCTGAGAGAAAACCACCAAGCAACCGCTCATGAGTCTGAGTCCTTTTTTGCAGAGTTCTGTCCACGGTCAGTGGCATTGCAAGCTCGACCTCATCCCCAGAAGCTCCACCACTCCTGGCACTCCATCTGTCTTCATCTCCCTTGCATCTCCCTTTCATCGAGTTCATCCTCATCAGTTACGACCGCAGTCCCAAGGGTTCAGTCATTTGTGTCCAAGCATATTACCGCGACACAGTATGGTCGGAAGATTCTCCGGCTGAGGGACTTGCCATCTGACAGTTTGTTGAATGCGCGCAATGCCCGGCATTGGTTCTGACACTGCTGCCCCTAAAGTACATTCACTTCCTGCTCGCCCTGTCATGGCCGCCATGGCATCCGGACTAGCTAGAAACCGCACAATCGAAACTGTATTACCGAGAAGTAAGCTTGTGGGGAGAACTATGATCATGGCGATAATCCTTAGCAGTTGTTCCGTCTATAGCAGCCAAATAGCAGTATTGACAGCAAGAATACGAATACCACTAATCACAACAAGAATGACAACAAGAACCGTTATTGCTACTGGTATCGTGAAACTATTGACCGGACTAACAAGGACAGGCTATAACTGTAACAAGAGCAGCCAGAGCGACCCGAGCAACAATAGCAACACTTGTGCCCATAAGAACAATGAGTAACACACAAACAACACTCATAGCAAGCATCGCTAGATTGAAACAATAGCAGCAACTAGCTTGTGAGCTGTTGCCAACGGAAAAAGGAACTTGATGTTTCTCTGCTGCTCCTCAGTACAGGCGGTTCAGCGACAGCTACAAGTAGCCCTAGACAATTGTAACAATACCTTTCGCAAAAATAAGAACAACAAGAATAGCAGCAGCAATAACAACAGTAACAACAACAACGCTTGGACACGACGTAAACGCGCGCCGCACTACTCAAGGAGTCGAAAAACCACAGAAAAACGTGGCCTGCGTGTGTCAATCAGACGCAGGTGGTGTCATTAGCGGTAACAAAAAGTGCCTTCAAATCAGGCTGAACTTTTTTGCGCGTGCTGCAAATAATAGTACGGAGTGGCCGACGGGAATTTATGTGTCGTATGCTTGCGGTGCTTTGAGGGTGTGAAGCTTAAAGTTAAGGTAAGGGTTCTTGGCTCTTAAACTTGCAGCCCGACGAGAGGCTTCGCATGGGTTTTAAGCAGAGGCCTTCCCAAGTTAACACGTACCTGGCCACTCGCGAACAAGGGCAACATGTACGTTGCCCTGGCCACGCGCACACAAAGGCAACATGTACGTAATCATCGTGTGGGCATGGACATCCAAGGTTTCTGGGCTCTAACACATGCGAAGCATCGCAAATAACAATGTTTCTGGCCTCGAAAACACGCGAAACATCGCAAATTACGATGTTTTCCACATACCTGAGAACTTAGAAATCGCACGCGGCGAAAACTCTTTCGCCAGTGGTGTTTTCGGCATGTCAAGCACACGAAACACTGTAAATACCGGTGTAATCGGCAGTGCGTTTTGCGCGTTTACATTGCGTCGGAGCCAACAAAAAGAATAACAACGAATACTAACAGCTAGTACTAGCACGAAGAACAATACTGACAACTGTTACCAGACGATATTCTGCGAATCGCAGGACTGACAAGAGTAACAAGAGTAACAAGAGAAGCAAGAGAAACAAGAGCAACCCAGGTATCAATAGCAACACCAGTACCCATAGTCATAAGAGTACATACATACACCAAGAAACATATAAATCAATACTCGCAATAGCAGCAAGAGTAGCAATCGTAGCACTAGGAACACTAGTACCAACAAATCAGAGCAAAAGCAATTATCACAAATGCAACAACAGAGTAACGATAATATCAAGAATAACAGTAACAACAACACATATGCAGTAATGAGACCAACAACAATAAGCAAAAGCAACAGCAACAATAATTACAATAGCAAGCATGGTAATTGGTGGTAATTGGAATAGCCCTTAAATCATGGGGGCGCCTCCCAATTTGCTGGGCAGGGCTCCTCGCCCAGTGCTCTTGGCGCGGTGGCGTGGTCTCTCCTCTTCCAGGCCGGGGTTTCGCATGTTCAGGGTCTATAGGGGTCTTGGGCGATTTCAAACGGGGTTGTTGGAAATCGGGGTCTGTCTTGGGGACCGTTTTCGTAGGGAATCCTGGTATTAAGCGCCTCCCCTTTCCTTGGGCATGCTGCCTTCGGACTTGAATTCTTTCTCGCTGATAGCAAATCAGAAGATGCCCATGGCAGTCATGGATGGACGCTTCAGTCTGTCTTTCTGAGGCTTGCTTACCATGGACTTCTCCGCATCTCACAGGCCATCGTTACGCCCGAAATCTAGCCATGGCGGCTCACTACTTTAGAGGGGTATTCATTGCATTCTGGTTTCATCCTGGATTCGCAAGTGGTGGGCCTGTAGCCCTTCGAGTTCTTCCAGGTCTTCCTTGAGTCTTTGCAAGCCGTTTTGGACCAGGAAGCTTGGAAACGGCTGCTGGGGCGCGGGTCCGAGAGCGGCTGAGTGCAGCGGTGTCAATGCCAATCCCCTATCACTATCAGGGTTTAGGGTTTAGGGCTGCCTGTCATGTCTCGGGACCCTTGCTACACATTGCTTCGTGCATGGGTCTGTCCAGAAGCGATGCAGGTGCTTTCGGTGGCTTGCGCTCTTCAGGGTTTGGTGCGGCACGCAGGCATGGCGCGGGAAGTTTTCTTGGTTGTCCTACCTTGCTGTGCCGCCTGGTCAAGGTGTGGGAAGGTCTGGCTTTGCCGGAATGTGTGTGTTTGCCTCAGAGCCTTTGGCGTGAGAGTTGATGGCTTAGACGGTCGAATCTGAGAGCTGCTTCTCTGCTTTGTCAGCCAAAGCTTTGACCGACATGGGTCTAGACCGAGCTGCAATATTGCGGACAGTAATCTCTTTGCAGTTTTCTGCAGTTCGATGGGCGCCTCGGTCGTTGGGATTCCTTGGTTTGACGATGGCAGGCCACGGTGATGGCGACGCTCCGTACGGCTGGCGTGGTGGCGAAGCACCCTCAGCCTCGGCTGTGCTGCCTTGGGCTGGCATATCGAGACTTCTTCCAGATGTAGAAACTTCACATGGACACCAGCAGCTTTCCGAAGAGACACACAAGGACTTGCTGCTGGCTTCTTCTCAGGCAGTTGGAGGCCAGGCTTCATCATATCGGATGCGGGCAGATTGTACACAGAGTCAGCAGAAGCAGCGAGGCAACGTGGGGAGCAAAGTGTCAGAGAGTTTTGCTGTTCTGCTGGTGTCATGCAGATGGGAGCGGCAGCCAGCCACCTTGATGCTGCGGCCTCAAGAGGGAGAGGGTGGGGGGCAGATTGGATAGCACTTGTATTGCTATTGTAGCTTTTTAGTATACTCTTCTACTATAGTAGTATACTTATATTATGATCTGGCTGGGGTTCAGAAGTGGGTCAAGTGAGTGGAGGCCTTCGCTGGTGCTCTCCGGAGTGGTGCCTCAATGCTGCTGCTCGGGCTGGTGCAGGCAAGGGCGTAGAATCAACGCGCCGTTTCTTGTGTGGCTTCTACTGCTTTTGTCTATGCTGGGTTCAGCGCACAGCTGCGTGATGTGCCGCTGCACAGCATCCCCTTTCTGCTTGCCTGCTTCTCCCGCAGGGTGTGGCTTGCAGGGTAATTCCCAAACCCGTCGCCATGCCTGAAGCAGCGCCGGGCTATGGTGGCCATGGTGGCTTGGATGCGGACGCTTGGAGGCCCATGCGCAAGGTTTACCTCCTGTCAGGCACGGCCCTCGAGGTGAGGGGATGTTCCGAGCTACGGGCTTTCAAGCTGGCTTTGTCCAAAGAGCTTCGGCATCCTGCTTTCCTGATCACGGTCTTGTGCGATGGGGTGGCCATAACCTGCGACGATGAGTGGCAGAAGGTGGACAGCTCCAATCACCTCGTCGCGGTGCAATCATGCCCATTCATGGACTTTGTTGCCGACTTCGACCAGGATCTGATAGAGGCCGGATGTCGCTCATCCATTCTGTTATAATGACTCGCACACGCACTCCTTCGCGACTTTCTTGTTGCAGTGAGACGGGGAATTGAATGTTTGTCATGTCAACATGGTTCTCAACTGATTTGGGACTTTGGGGAGCCATCGTTTGGGCAGATTCCTGTCCGAACTTGGGGTTCTTTGCCGGTGGGTTGATTTACTTCTGGATGTCCGGATTGAGGGTCGAGTTCGTTTGTCTGATGATCTGTCGAGCTGGACGGTGAAGTTGTCTGCCATGCGGGTTACGAGGAACGGTGCTTTTTTGGTAAGTTGCGACCAAAATGGTGGGACTTGAGGTGTGACTTGGGTAGCCTAGTTCATGCCAGCGTGCGCTTCAGATCAGGTACAAGACTGTTGCCTTAACAGGCAGGCCAAGGAGGTTTCCCGGCTGGCAACGGTGCCAGAATGTTCGGGGTGGCTTCATGATTGAGCTCGAGAGCGCCAAGCGTACGGAAGCCGCTGCCTGCACAATGTCCGAACTTTGTGGCGTTTCGAGGGCAAACATGAATGTTGCAACAATCAGTCTGCGGTCATGTCACGCCAACAACTTCTCTTGAATCAGTCTTGGCAAGCCCTTCCAGTTGAGGGATAAAGATCTTGCTCGGACGTCTGCCCTGAAAAGTCTAGGACTGTGCGGCAACTAGCTGCCTTCATCATCTGCCGCCGTGTAGTACTGTCAGAGCAAGTGACAGCCAACGGGTTACGCCAGAGAGCAAGGCAATGAAGTGCGATCAGGCGATTCCGTCACTGCACTTTGGACATTGGAGGCCAAACAAACAGGAGCAGCCAAGGAACTAATATCCCTCAAGATCAAACAACAGCAAGCAGTCTCTGGGACCGAACACTGGTTCTTGCTTGGTCCCAGTCTCAGAAGAGCGAGGAGAAGTGGGGGTGTAGTTTTTTTTCTGACAGCAGGCGACGACAGCCGGTGACATCAGCCGGGTGGAGGAGCTCCTGATCAAGGGTCAGCGGCCGGATGCGGAGCTGCTGAGAGGGCGGCACCATGTGGGCCATGGCAATGCCGGCAATGCGGGCAATGCTGGCATGAACCGCATGAAGCCTCTGCACCTCGCCTCTGAGGATGGGAACGCGCACCTTGTGAGGCTTCTAATCCAGGCACGCGCCGAAATCAATGGAGGCAAGTGCGACAAAACTCCGCTTCAACTGGCATGTGAAAATGGCCAATCTACAGTGCTAACGGTTCTCGTTGAAGCCGGTGCGGACATCAATGCAACGAACAGATGTGGGAAAACCCCTCTTCAGCTGGCATGTGCAGGTGGGCACATCAAATGCGTTTACAACTTGCTCTTGGCAGCTGCAGATGTTAATCAAACTGCCAGTAGTGGTAGAACCCCTTTGCAGCTGGCTTGCGAGCACTGCCATTTGGACGTCATTAAGCTTCTGACCCGAGCCGGGGCTGACATACACAAGAAAGGCATCCATGGCGGGACACCACTACAGATTTCCTGCGAACGAGGGTATTTAGATGCAGTGCGCCTTCTCATTCAAAATGGCGCCGATATCAACTCAACGAGCAGATATAGCCGGACGGCCCTGCAACTGGCATGCGAGCAGGGCCATCTGGAGGTGGGAGCGAGCATCATGGATGCTTGGGGGGGGGGGGTTGGTTGCAGGATCTTGTAGGGCTTGTTGCAATATGGTTGCTGGAATGGTTCGCAATGGTGTAGCGGCATAGTGTCGAAGTCCCCGACAAGACGGTAGCTAGAGCGCAACTGAGATCAGGTGGTGGCTCATCTGATCGATCAGCGAGCGGATGTCACCAGCCAGCGCAACTACGGGCGGACCCCTCTTCAGCTTGCCGCTGAGCAAGGCCACGCCGATGTCGTGAAGGCTTTGGTGGCTGCACGAGCAGACACACAGGTCGCGGGTGCATACGGCCGTACGCCCTGGACGCTTGCTTGTGAAGCCGGTCACTTCCAGGTGGTCCGGGTGCTGGTCCAGGCGGGAGCTGGCAGGGCGAAGCACAAAGCCAAGCCGTCGAGCGATAGCTCAAAGTGACTGTCGCCTTATGACAAATGTTCCATGCTGATGATAACAGCTCAATGGGTGCTTTGGATTGTGTTGGAGGGCGCGAAAGCGAGATCTTGACGACAGCCCAACTTCGTTTACCGCAGCCAGAAAAGAGACCGCTATGCCTTGAGACCAGCTTGGAGATATGCTGCTGTTTGGGGTTGAGGGTTTAGGGTTTAGGGGTTTAGGGGTTTAGTGGTTTAGGGGTTTAGGGGTTCAGGGGTTTAGAGGTTTAGGGGTTTAGGGGTTCAGGGGTTTAGGGGTTTAGGGTTTAGGGGTTTAGGGTGAGAAAACTTCACATCTGGCAGGCCGCTGCTGTCGATGTAGCCGAGGAGGGCTTTGCCTCCTCGGATCTTTTGGGTCTACCAAAGCTGTTTCATTGGGTTTGCACGGGCTTTGTCTGTTGCAATGTGTGCAATGTGTGCAGTTCATCCGACATCCAAGGCCTGTGTTTCAGGGTTTCTGCGTCGGCAATTCATCTCGGCAATGCCAGGAGTTTGGCGCCAGCTTCGCAGCTGGTTGGCTTTCTGCAAACTTGGGACAGTTGCGTGTCTGGTTTTTGTCTCTCCTGCCGTCGCCTTATAGCACTAGTAATCACGATTAACAAGAATCATCTGCCATTGTAGTTATTCGTGTTTTTGTTATGTTTGTTCTTCGTATCTTTGCTGAGAACATCATTCTTGCTGTAATTTTTGCTGCTACTACTGATAGGAAGAACAAAGCATTACAGGCAGACTTTCAGGTATCAAAGTATGAAACACCATGTCCACTTCCCGGCAGAGGACTTCTTGCTGCGCTGCTCGGGCTGGGGCAAGGCGGGGGGGCTGAGGGACGCAGATGATTTTCAATCTGAACCACAACCATAACCACCACCACCACCACCACCACCACCACCACCACCACCACCACCACCACCACCACCACCACCACCACCACCACCACCACCACCACCACCACCACCACAGTACACACTAAACCCTAAAGCCCAAACCCAGAACCCGGTTATGAAGTATCTGGCAGTGGGTTCCCGGAGCGTTCGTTGCCAGACCGGCGTCTGGCCTTTGCCTCGTCGGAGCCTGAGAGCTGTGTGGAGGGCAAATCAAGCCGGGGCCACCCTTGGGCTCAAATGCAGTATGAGTTTGCTTATAGTATATACTGAAAGTTAGTATGACATATATATATATATGTGTATATGTATACTTATACTTATGTATGTGTATATGTATCTGTATCTGTATCTGTATATGTATCTGTATATGTAAATGTGTATGTATATGTATATGTATATGCATATGTATATGTGTATCTGTATATGTGTATGTATTATGTTTATATGTATATGGTCTCCTATTCATCCCTGCTCATGCTCTTTGGTGGCTCTTCCGCTAGGTTGGCCTGGCTTCTCCATCTCCTCCGCGCGGCTGCAGACTTGGCCGCGAGGCCTCGAAGATGATCGGGTCGCCGGGCCTCCGCCAGTTTTTGGGGTGTTAGGGGCTTTGGGGGTCTTAGGGCTTTAGGGGCTTTAGGGGCTTTAGGGGCTTTAGGGGTTTTGAGGGGTTTTAGGGGTTTTAGGGGCTTTAGGGCAAATTTTAGGGGCTCTCTGGGTTTTGGGGGTTTTAGGGGTTTTAGGATGGTTTAGGGGCTTTCGCGGCTTTAGAGGCTTTAGGGTTTTGGGGGCTTTAGGGGCTTTAGGGAGCTTAAGGGTTTTAGGCTTCAGGGGTTTTGGGGGTTTTGGGGGTTTTAGGGGTTTTAGGGGTTTAAGGGCGGGGTTTCATCCTTTTGACTTTGTTTCTGGCAGGGTGGACGCTGCCAGCGTTGAGAAGAGTCCGCAGGGAGAAGGCCTCCAGACGACATGTCACTGCGGAGCAGAAAGTGACTTGCAGGGCTGAGTAGACGAACGCAAGCTCCACTTCGCAAAAAGAATAACACTGAACTTCACTTACTCAAATTCATTAATTAATATATACCCTAATTGTCTGCGTGTGTACACACACATATACGTATAGTTCCATACAGTTGCTACATAATTTTGTGGTTAAGTATGTGTTTACATCAAGGAATATGTGTAAATCGATCTTTCTGATTTTCATTTTCATGATCATTATGTTCCAAACTGTCATCATTGTTATCACAATTCTTCTTCAACTGAGCTTGAACTGCTCAGGGAACACGGCCTTGCCCGAGTCTTCCCTGAGGTCGGATCCTTGTGCCCTGTGCTGCTTTCGACTGGTGTAAGGGCCAAACCGCTGCTAGCCAGATGAGGTTGCTGTTCCTGGTCGACAACTTCCGGTCCTTGCTCGCCATGGCTGCACGGGGCTGACTCAAGTGCTTACCATATTTAGCTGCTATGGTTGGCTCTATTGCTTTTTTCATTACCAGTACTATCGCTATTTTGTCTTCACGATTGCTAGTAGTGCGAATAATTTATGGTATCCTAGTATTACTCGTATTACTCGTATTACTCTTATTACTCGTATTACTCGTATTACTCGTATGACTCGTAATCCTAGTATTACTAGTATGACTTACCACTACTACTACTACTACTACTACTACTACTACCACCACTACCACTACTGCTACGACTACGACTACGACTAGGACTACGACTACGACTACGACGACGACGACGACGACGACGACGACGACGACGACGACGACGACGACTACTACTACTACTACTACTACTACTACTACTACTACTACTACTACTACTACTACTACTACTACTACTACTACTTCTCCTACTCCTACGCCTGCTCCTGCTCCTGCTCCTGCTCCTGCTGCTAGCGCACTAGTCGAGAGAGTCATGGCACACTTCATCGCAATCATGGTAGAAATTCATGCTTTGCAGCTGTCGTAGCTACTCCACCTGGCTCGAGGTGTGGAGCTTGCTTGGCCGCCCGCTGGAGAGGCCAGAATGGCCAGACCATCGCTTTGTAATGTTGTATCTACGACGAGTTTCCGAAGACTGTTTCCCTGGTTGCAACAGAAGATGCCTGGGGCCTTGGGCTGAAGCCTTCTGCGGGACAACTTCCAGTTTTGGGTTCACGAGCAATTTGGGCGTTTGTTTGATGCTGGAAGTGGACCGCACGGCTCCGTCACCGTACGTCTTTGTGCTGAGGGGTTGCTCGCAGTCGGTGTTCGATGCAGTCGGTGTTCGATGCAGTTCCCAGGGCTGTGATTCCGGGTGCTTCAGAGACTTGGAAAGGATCGGACAATTTCCGAGAAACTAGACTGTTGTGCCTAGTCTTGTCGCCAGGCTGGTAACGTGGATGCTGCCAGGGAGGCTTCGAGTTTTCGCCTTCGAGGTGCCAGTTGACGGTGTTGTTTTGGTTTCTTTAGTTTTGTTGAGCCCTCGTGCAGCCGAGGCGCCCATTGACGATTTGGGCGGCTTCCTGCAGGTTGGAGTTCTGCGCTCGGAAGCTCACCAATCCCTCTGCAACGCCTCTGCCTCGGCAGCAGCCTGGGTAGCCGAGGTCTGCCTTATGCTGGAAAGCTCGGAAAGCCTTGGGCTGAGCAAGCTTACCCCAGAAATCCGTCTTGCACGGTCCACCGCAAGCTGGGAGCTTCGTTGAACCTGTGCCTCGCCAAGGCCTCTCTGCGCCTCCACGTCCCCACCACGTGGCATGGGCCTCAGGCCTCTTTGAGAAGACACATGCGCGAATGATCGATGATTCTTCGGGATCACCATGCAGAAGCCCCGCAGTGTTGGTGCCGTCGGTTCCTAACCCTGATTCAGTTTTGCGCCAGGTTCAAGTTGATTCAACTACTCTGAGTTATTGAAAACATAGAATGGACACGCAATTCTATTGCGTAGATTTGCATTTAAATGTTCAGTCCATAGACTCATAGACTTGACCCCTAGTTTTATTCCACAGTTTCGTGGACCCTTTTGAATATTCAACTGAAATTTAGATTGGATACAAGCTCTCGGTCCGGTTCACTCTCTGGATCTTGGCTTCACCCAATTTAAACTAATGTGAAGAAGTTGAATAGTACGACTGACCCCAGCTATGTTATTCAAACTGTCTGGTTAGTTTGAATCTTAGAGTTGGGGGTCAAGTCCATTATTCAAACGAAATAAATGTGCTGGCCTGTCTCAATAATTCATACAAAGCAGCTGACTCCAAATCCGTTTGTTAGATGATTAACAACGCATGAGAAGGAAACAGGAAAAACTAGCATATATATATATATATATATATATCTACACAGAGACTTTCAGTGTACAGAGTAGCGGGCTTTCTTGTTCGCTGGGGTCTACAGGTAGGGTTTGGAATCTCGAGGTCTGCAATGTCGGGCACTTGCCGACTGCGGACGATGATGACCTCAGAGCAGTGACTCTCAGAGGGAAGGCAAGCGTCACTTCGAGCAATTCGCGCTGCGAATGATGTTGCTGTGCCCAGGCGACAGTGCGATCTTCCCTCAAAATCATGGAAGAGCTTTCGGGTCTGAAGCCTGGGAACCGCACTTTCGTTGGTGCCAAAGCTCTCTCCCCCTTCTTCCCCTTCTCCCCGAGGTTTCAAGGCTGCCCTGCGGACCGAAGCCATGCAGGCCGGATCGGAGCGTGACAAGTTCGTGGCATACTTTGGTGATTGAAAGGTGTTGAAAGTGCTTCATTCGATGGCAGGTAGCCGCACGCCCCCCCGCAGATGGCTTCGCCACCTGGCCAGAGGATGCGGCACCAGCCGATAGGCCCTAGAATGCAACCCTAGGCCCCAAGCTAAACAAAATGCACCCTAAGCCCTAGAGTCTTGGGACTGGAGGCCCAACAGCCGAAATCCTCTAGCTCTCTGAACCGCAACAAAAAATCCAAGACTTAACATGAACCCTACATACACGCAAAAAAGGCAGAAGTTCTTAACACCCAAAGCTCTAAGCTCTCAACACTCCAAGCCACGAGGCCTCAAACCTAAGGCCGAAAGTCATTGGGAGCGGAGGGGTATCATGGGCGCAAGTGCGGGTTGCTGTGGTGGCAAGTGAGGCCGAACGCATGGTCACACCATGGGCACAAGTGAGGGAAGGACCTTCTTCACAGCAGACCCCTAAACCCCTAAACCCGAAGCCCTAAAGCCTAAACCCTGAAGCCACAAACATGCCGAGGTGGCCAACCTGCTTTGTGTTCTTCCTAAGCCTGGCAGGCAGCCGATGGTTCTTAGGTTTGCGTTCGTGTTTGGTGGTCCTGTGAGCCTGCAGGCGAGGGATCGTGCATCCGGGTTGGCAGTCGGTTCGCGAAGTGAATCTGTCGGCTCGGCGCTTGGACGGAGGGTCCTGTAGCTCTGACCATGTATTCGCCAGTTCAATCCCAATGCTGTTCTTCATTTCAGAGCAGCTTTTCCTAATCCTGGAGGTTTGGTCCACGGAGGAGGCGGCCACAACGTGGTATCGCCAGCTTTGGACCTAGTTGAGGTGTTCACCTGATTGGCTGATTGGGGCAAGTCACAGCTAGCCCGAGACATGTAAGGCTAAGCGTTAACCCTCAAACCCTCATGAACCCCCCAAATTTTTGAGGTTTAGGGTTCTTTGCGTATGTGGGATAGAGTGAGAGGCGTACCCTTGCGAACACGGAGTCGTTTTGACATCAAAGGGTTCACGCCAGCTGGGCCGAGAACGCAATCGAAAAGAAGACCGGGGAACGTTTGGTTTTGGCGCGAAGCCTCACGAGTGGTATCGTAAAGGCATACGTTGACAACAGCATTGATATGAGCACCTTCGTTTAGGAATTCCAGGTGCAGTTCCCGGTTCCCCGGCGTGAACGCGCAGCAGACAGGCAGAGCAAGGGTAAGAACAACACAGACTCACCAATGGGACAGCAAGACGACAAGCGCGTGCAGTACCCGTTCAACTTCCAGTATGTGCACGTAGACGACTGGCAGAAGGCCTACTACGACGGGGGGCTTTTGGAGGCAAACGACCACAAAGAACCGGGGCGGGCAAAAGCCCGGCCAAGCGAAGAGAAGGCGCGATGTGTAAACAAACGAGTGGTTGCGAGTATTACTGGGGGACAAATAGCTCACAGACGAATGACCAACAATCCGACCCGGCATTCTTTGCCATCAAGGCACGAAGTGCCTTTGCAAAGCAACTACCATGTAGCTTCTGCAAGCGCTGACTCGTCGCGCAAGAGTCTCAGGTACTATGTGCCGTCAAGGGATGTAATCCCCTTACAAAGTAAATACAATGTAGTTTCGACTGGAAAACGCCGTAGTACGCAATGCCCCAGTGACACACACAGACACACGCAAGAATCCTACACATAGACAGATTCCTACCCTAAAGGCCCCCTTATTGGGAATGGCGACGCAGTGGTGAGCCGCAACGAAAGGTCGATCGGATCAAGTCTCCCCACATGTCAGATAATGAGGAATACTGACACCTCGCAAACAGCACCGGAAAAAAGCAAGTGGGCGTTGTGCCTTTTTGATTCTTTGGATTTTTGGACTTTTGGAT